GGCTTCCACAGCGTTCTGGCTATATAGCTCTGGAACTGAGGTGAGGCAAAACATGGTGGAAGGGCATGGTAGAGGAAAACTCTCAGCTCACGGCACCAGAGAAGGAGAGAGAGGAAGGGTCAGGGTTAGGGATAGGAAACACATTTCCAGAACATTCCCCAGTGATTTACTCCCTCCAAGTAGGACACATTTCCCACAGCCTCCACCACCTCCCAGTAGTACATTCAGTGATGAGTGAATTAATCAATCTACTGGTGAGGTCAGAATCCTCATGATCCAGTCACTTCCCCAAATTCCCATTTCTGAACATTGCTACTACATTGGGGACCAGGTCTTTGGGGGACATTGTATCCAAACCATAACACTATTCATTTAAATAAGTGGTAAGTTTTGGGTTGTTTACCTGACTTGTCAGCACTACTGGTATCTAAAGAGGGTTGGATGGAGCAGGGCTAGATGAAGTACTTTATGAAGTAGTTCTCACTTAATCAAATGCCAATGGCAGCCACATGAAGAACAGCTATAAAGGTTAGTTATCCTTCTTCCTATAACTGCCTGGCTAGTTGCAGAGGAAGTGGAATTTATTTTATGTTAAAGGAACATACACACACACGTTCACACACAAGAAAATGGAGGTCTTTCAAGTGTTCTTTTAAAAACTATGTTTAGTTCTTTGTTGGTCTTTTGGTGCATCTAATTATTAGGATGTCAGTGCCCATTTTGAAGTACAATACATTTCCCTGATAGGAGGAGCCTCCATAAGACCTGCACAGGGTTATGAATTATCTCATAATTTAACCATTGTTGGTCATTTACTCTTTGTTTTTAATGATTCTGTGAGTGTTTAATACTTGTTTTCTTTTATTATAATCATCTTTGTCCTTTTTAGAAATAGATTATTATAAGTGTTTGTTTTCAGTGACTATAAAATGAGCAATTGGACTTGATCTCCATTATCTCTTTTAGTTGTTAAATACTAGGATTCTTTTCTTTTTATTACTTAGAACAATGAAGGCTTTTAAAATTTTATTTATACTTTGTATTTTATTTTGATTTTAATTGAGTAACTTTTATAAAATTTAGTACTTTGCATAATCACTCCAAAAACTTTGTGATTACTCTGATTATGTTGCTACTTTAATATAAGCACGATGCTGCTAATTAATACCAATAGAATACATATTTAGCTTGGAGTGAATTGAACCTTGGTTTTTGCATACAAGCTGTTGCACCTCTTGTGTATCATATTTATACAGTTATTTTCTTTCATTAAATATAGGAGCCATACTTTTGTTCCAGTTACATTTAGCCTCACTTCCATCTGTCTATCTTATCCTGTCATCTAACATATTTGCTGATTTATCCAGCTTTGAGTCATTTATAGATTGGATAAATACAAATTCTATGTCTCCAAGTCACTAATAAATGTTTAGAATCAATCAGGAATTGAGTGCTAAACAATGCATTTAAAAACAAAAACATTTCCTTCCAGGTTTTTCCTTTTGTTACTCATGTTTTTAGTTGTGTTAGCATATATTTTCTCGCTTTCCTTCCAGAATCTTGTTTATCATTTCATATTTCACCCAGCTCCATATTTTATCCCATAATTAATTAATTACCCTATACTTCTTTTAGATTTTTTTTTGATTATCATGTTGAGTCTAGATAACATTCATGCAACTTTTCCATGATAAGTCAAGTGGTTTTGTGAAAGAAGAAATTGAAATTGTATTATTAACACAGCTCTCCTAGTAATGAGTGCCACTCATTACTAGGCTCTCACAATCATCCTTTTATCTTCTTTTAAGACCCTGCCCATTCTTAAGAAAGCTTATGTATCAATAGGGATTTACCTTATGCCCACCTCTGGTTTTCAACTTCCTCTTTTCTTTGCATATGTTCTCAAAGACTAACAACTAATTTGATCAGTGATGTTATTTATCCTGGGATATATTTTGTAGACTAAGAGTACATAGAGTAGCTGTGTGCTTTCTTTAAATTCCCCCTCTTCTGTGCTTCCACTTAATGTGTTTTTCCCCCCTTAAGATTTTCAAATGAAGAGTTAAAGAAAATTAAATAACAAAGACAATTAAAATAGATACTCATTATTTTATCTCATTCCAAATAGTGGAATTGCTCTTGCTTGTCATTTTGTAGCAAACAAGTAAAAAGCACAACTTTTTTCTTGTCCTCCACATGTTTGTCAGTGGGACATATGAATGAAATAGTAGTTAAAGAAGCAAATGGTAGAAGAGAGACGTGATAGACAATGAAAAAACTGATACAACCTGATATATAATTTGTTGGTAATTGGTAATTCAAATAGTATACTTTTTGAAAAGTGGCTTATTTTCAAACTGGTTGCTTTTCCCTGGACATCCTTTTCTTACACTGGGGAAATTGAACATGATTGGTAATCATGTGCTTATCAAAGCTGAGGGTTGCAGAGTGTTGGAAAACTAAATCTTTAGAAGGAATTAATTGATAAATTACTGAAAAGATCAAGGATAGGACAAAAGATCAAGGATAGGACCAATCTTAGTCATTGAATGACCCAGAGACTCAAATGATATCACAGGCACATGCCTCGCTCCTTTGGTGTGGGTGTGTATGTGTGTCCGTCCGTCCGTTCGTCCATCCGTCTGTCCCTTTCCTACATGCTCTGTTCTCTACTGGATCCATTTCCAGAGACTTTCCCCTGTGGAACAAAATGCCTACAATTACACCTCATGTTTTTCTCAGATTTACCTTCAGTAAGAAGAAATGTGTCTCTGCCTTGAAGTCACTCGACTTTTTGGTATTATGTTCAGGCCAATACATTTTGGGTATGAAGACTTAAGGATGTCTATCAAATAACCACTCTCTCTAGTTTTTGAAATTAGGTTATTATAATAATTGATGTGTGTGTGTGTAGGAAGGAACACTTTTTGCCTAGGAGATGAGTAAAATTGGTAATAATTGGGTGAGAATAAGTGGGAGGAAGCACACAACAAAAGAAAATGTCTTAGAGAATCCATTACTATCAAATTCTTGCAAATTTAACCCAAGGCATCCAAACTTTCCTCAACCAGCCATCTTCAGGTCATTGGAATGAACCCAAGTTTTTATTAATTCTTCAATCCAGTAGTTCTCACAGTGTGCTCCCTAGATGGATAGCATTAATATTGCCTGGAAACTTGATTGAAAAGCAAATTATGGAGCTCCTACTTAATCCTACTGAATTTAAAACTCTGGAGGTGGGGCCCAGCAATTTGTGTTCTAACCGGTCCTCCAGGTGACTTTGGTACATGCTGAAGTATGTGGACCACATATCATGATTTTAAAGCATCCTCATAATAGTTGAATAGCTAAAGATTAATTTCATTTGGAAGTATGTTTTTGAGTTCCTTATCATCATCTTATTAAATATTTTGGAAAGGAACAGGTGGATTGCTTGAAGATGGAGAAAATTTGAATCAGTAAACCATAGCTTGGCCTTAAATGCCAAACACCCAGGAGTGATTGAACTGCATTTTCCTCTTGTAGATTCAGATAGTATCACGGAACCTATTTAAAAAGCTAAATGTAGTAGCAAAATGCACAAGGGATTTGATGTAGGTGACTTCAGAATAAGAACGAACCTGGGGAGAAGTGGTTATAATTTGTATAGAGGGACTTGAAGATCAGGAAGACAAAGGACTGTTTCAGAAGAAGTATTTTCAAAGGTAGAATTAACCAGACTTAGTAACTGAACCTGGAGAGGATGGAATCAAGTATAAGATTTCAAACCTAGGTGATTAGGGTGATGGTGATTGTGGAAAGGAGCTTATTAGGGAATATAATGAATCCAATCTTTGACTTGTTCACTTTGAGGTGATTGTTTAAAGGACATATATGGAAAAAGAAGAATCTTTAGATAGGTCTTTAGGTAAGTTAGAATCTAAGAGGAGATAGAACTGTGGTGAAGAAATTGAAGCACTGCATTCTTTTGTTTCTCTGACTTTCATTTTCTGCCATGGTCTGGCACAGTTCTGGGTTCTGAGAATATAGTGGCGAACAAACCCTACCCTCAACTAATATTGTAGGTGGAGGTAGACAAAATAATAACATATAAGCAAATGAACAGGATTATTTCAGATAAAACAGAAAAGACTAAGTAGAGAATTCTTTAGGAAGTCAAAAGAAGACTTGAACGGTATGGTGGTACATGACTATAATCCTAGCAGCTCAGGAGGCTGAAGCAGGAGGATCATGGGTTCAAAGCCAGCCTCAGCAATTTTGTAAGACTGTAAGCAACCTAGTGAGACCCTTGAGAGAGAGAGAGAGAGAGAGAGAGAGAGAGAGAGACACCTGAGGTGGTGACCTGTGCCATTAAATCATGTGGAAGATAGTTTTATTTTGGAAAGTCAGAAGATGGTAGAGTAGCAGAGTGGCCAAGGAGAACTGCAAAACTGTATTAAAAGGTTCATTTTGGTTTTTTTGACCTTTCAGAGGCTGTTCCATGTGAAAGATTTAGAGATATGGCTCCATGTATGAAAAGGAAAGTAGAATTAAAAATAGTTGGCACTCAGATATTTCAGCCATTTGTTGTGCAGAAAACTCAATTTCATAGGGCCTTAACCCTTCTTAGGAGAGTACAGAGTAGTAACACCTCCCAGGTTTAAATTGTGATGATCAAATGAGAGAATGAATCTTATTTTATCAACCATAGTGCTTGGAACTAAGTATTTCAGTAATAGCTGTTGGTAACAGTAACACTGAAAAAGGAAATTTGGTTATGGGAAAAGCAGTTTAATTTAATAATGATGAGATCGATGTCTTTTGATATATGATTTTATTTAGAAGTCATACTTGGATCTTTTATCATGCATGAAAATTTTAAAGGTATGAAACCAAAGTACACAAATATTTTATAAGCAAACAATGTACCATGATTAGCTACCTAATGGCATTTAGAAAGTGTGCTTATGTGCATTACACTGTAGGATGGATCTTACTGAATTTTACATATTTTATTGTAGATGTGTACATCTCATGATTGATGTGAAGAAATGAGTCATGGACCAAAGGTCAAGATACTTCTCTGGGAAATGTTGCTGCTGATGCTGCTTTACAAAGTCACACAATGAAGTGTTTGGTTTAAGAAGGATTTTCATATTTAAAAGATTTTCATCTTGGAAATATATCAAGTGAAAATTAGATTTTTTTGGGAAACATTTTCCTCCTAATAAATTATACTTGTAATGGGCGACATGGCAAACAACTCAGTTGCATATAGTGGTGTGAAAAACTCTTTGAAAGAAGCTAATCATGATGGAGACTTTGGAATTACGCTCGCAGAGCTGCGGGCTCTCATGGAGCTCAGGTCCACAGACGCATTACGAAAAATACAGGAAAGTTATGGAGATGTCTATGGAATTTGCGCCAAGTTGAAAACGTCTCCTAATGAAGGTGAGTTTTATTTTGTTTTTAGTCCTTTGTGCAGAGAGTGCTATATATTTGACTCATAAAAACATGTTTATATTGGTTTATATTTTCTTGGCTATTATGTGACCATGCCATAATTGTAGTAATGTTAAAAATAGGTTAGTTACCTGATTGGTACAGTTAAAGTTAAATTTAGACCAAGAAATAATGTTATAGAATAATTACACGTTTCAGACTAGTGGGATGAAATAGTTTATCCCGCTGTATGTATTATTGCTGCCTGTTTACAATAACAAGATTGTCTTTCCATTCGAGCTGTAGAGGATGGAAGCAAGCTTGGTAGCCCCCAGGGGATTCAGTGGAAATAAACCCTGCTCACTGTTCTTCATTTTGCCAGGTGGTTTAAAATAGTTGCCTTTGCCAGTAGCTGACCAAGTCCTTTTCAACTTACAGGGCATAATCTAGACTTTAATTTTTAGTTCAGGAGGTCCTAGAGCAAAGCTTGTAGTTTAGATGGCTCATAGTTTTTCACTTAGCAGACATTTCTTTGATTAAAAGTAATTTTCAAACTTTGGACTGAGTTGAATTTTCCCTCATTCAAAGAAGCTTTTGGTTTCATAATTCTTGATTTGTCCGAAGTTTCCTTTTGAAATCAAGAAGGGAAAATTTATTGTAACTTTATTGCATTATGGTCTTTGAAATGATTTGAAAAGATGATCTTTGATACATTGATCATGTTGAACATAAACTTTACATTAGGAAATTTTAAGAAGACATTTAAACATTGCAAAGGTGAGAGTAGAGGGAACATATGAGGATGAATGTTTGGTAATTATAATTTATTTTAGTAAAGATGGGGAATTATTACTATAATATATTAAGTTAGTATATTTTCCAAAGTCACTTCTAGAGAAATATGCAAAAGTGCTTTTCTTAACATATTTTCTGAAACATACCACATTGCTGCTCATGATAATATTTAACTTAATAACAAAAAGTAATTTTCCAAGATTAGAATTTTAAATCACACCAAATATCCTTTGAACATTTATGTAATTTTCTACTATATGGATAAATAGTTCCTTTGATTTCTCTGAAGTAGTATAACTTAGAAAAACTTAGTGTCAGTATTCACTCATGTCCTAAAAAGCCTTCTTCAGATACTTGGTGTATCCTCTTTTTCTATAAGACCTGTTAAATTTAAGCTAAGCCTGAATTGATGAATGCTTCATGATCACCAGATTAATAGGTGATGTTAACATTAAAGAGTCCTCAGTATGACAACAGTTTGTTCATAAAAGCCTTGTTGAGCTCCAGTTTCAGTTCTATACTTAACTGTCTTCCCCTCTCTGCTCTTAATCAAATTTCTTGTTTTCTGATACTGAATACCTTCCTTTATGCCCTCTCATTTTTATAAACGTGATTTCTTCTTGGTTTGCAGTACAGTTTCTTCTGTGCTCTTATTTTGGGTAGAATTCCTTACACTGATTATGGTTTAACTAGTGAAGTTAATTGAAACTTTGCTTCTAGTATAGTGGTTTATATTTTAGGAAGCAGTGATTACATACCATTTTGACAACATGGTAGAAGCAATGGATAAGCTCTAGAACTTTTGACATTAAGAATTTTTTGTGAATTGTTGGTAGTCTGTGCATTAAATAAAATATGCATTATTTTTTCCTCTTCTTTGTTTAGAAATCTTTTGCTCTTGTACTTCCTGGTATTATGAATTTAATATTTTCTAAAATTTGTACAACCTATTGTTTTTAATATTTATATATAAATGCTTAATTATTTTGCAATGTTCTTTTAAAGACTGTAAAGCAAAACATAAGCATCAGATTAGTATTTGCAGTTACTGAAAGTATAAATAAAAATGGCAACAGCTTTCATAGGAATATTATTTCCAAAGGAATTTTCATGATTTTAGTCTAGTAGGAATATGTCACTCAGAAGGCTATTGAATATTTTGTCACCGAAACATGATCAGAAATGAGCACCTACCAGAAGTTTGTCTGCACAAAGTGATCTAGACAGCAAGCATTCTTTTGTTAGAATAATCTGTTTATATTCTAGGAAATATAGATTTTGATTAGTAAGGCTGAAGTCGTTTGCCTGTGCCTTTAGTTCTTTCATTTATTAATTCATTCATTGGTCCTTTCATCAGACCTAGGATGTTGATTATCATATATTTTATATACCCTCTTTAAAAAAGTAAAAGTATTGGCTGTTACTGTGAGACAATTATAAGTATATAATTAAATCACATTTCAATTTCAGATATTTTAATAAAATGTAAGAATATGTAACTTAGAATTGCCGAAATGTGGGTTGAGAGTATAGCTCAGAGGTACAGTACTTGCCTAGCATGTGTCATGTTGTAAGTTTAATCCCCAGTACCACCCCCCATCAAAAAAAATTACTGAAATATAGTATTATCAGGTACCTGGTAAGTGTGTAAAGCCTGGAGGAACAACCCAGGAAATTTCTTAAGAACAATAACAACTATAATTATGGATAGCACTGATGATAGGTAATACTTTTTGTATCAGGTTGGTTATTAACATTTACAAGTATTAATTCGTTTTATCTGTCTAATACCTTTACCCTATTTTCAAACCAAAGAACACAAAAAAAAAAATACCTTACAAGTCTCACCCTGGTTATAGTCATATTTTTTAATACAATGGCCATGCTTTTAACCACTGTATTTGGTTTTTAAAGTTTAGCTCACATAGCTTGTGAACAAATTTAGATACTATAAAAGAGGCACATGTGTTCTCATCTAATAAGTTTTTATGGAAAAACAGAAATTTTTTGGAATTACATGGTTAAAAAAATGGATTATGGTTCTGTGCGTTAGTCAGCATTCTATTCCCTGTGACAAAATACTGAAATAATCAACTTTAAAAGGAGGGAAGGTTTATTTTGACAATTTTGGAAGCTTTGGTCTATGGTTGGTTGGCCTATTGCTTCCAGCCTATGGTGAGGCAGTACATCTTTGGCAGGAATACAGGGCAAAGGAAACTGTCTGGTGGTAGATGGAAAGCAGAGAGAGAGAAAGAGAGAGGAGAAGCCAGAGTCCCATTATTCCTTTCAAGGGCATGCACTTTAGGACCTAACTTCCTTCCACAAGGTCCCACAGCCTAAAGATTCCACCATTCTTAAATAGAGCCACAAGATGGGAGCACACCTTCAACACATGGGTCTTAGGAGACATTCAAGATCCAAACAACAGCATTCTCTGTGGCAATCTAGTCTTTAAAAGCATGCCCCCATCTTATCAGTCAATTACATATTTATGCTTCCTTTTTGTCACACCATTACTTGTTCTCTAATAGAGTAGTTCTTGAACTTGTTCTAAGAAGACTGCATGGGTACTGACCAAAAGGAATTATTTTGAACCAGATGTGAGTTTTTTACATTTAAAACTTCTTAGCAGTTCTGATAACCATCATTAAAGGAACTAGAACTGTAAAATTAGCTGGAATTGAGATTTGTTAACTTTGTATTTTTAGCTCTTTCTTTTTGAGCGAGCATCTGTTTCATAGTCTTCAGAATATAAGAATGTACTTTTATATCAAAATAACCTGCTTGGATTAACATTAAACAGAGACATGAGATGGGAGGGAAAGGGAGAGAAAAGGGAAATTGCATGGAAATGAAGGGAGACCCTCATTGCTATACAAAATTACATATAAGAGGTTGTGAGGGGAATGGGAAAATAAACAAGGAGAGAAATGAATTACAGTAGATGGGGTAGAGAGAGAAGATGTGAGGGAAGGGGAGGGGGGATAGTAGGGGATAGGAAAAATAGTAGAATACAACAATTACTAATAGGGCATTATGTAAAATTGTGGATGTGTAACTGATTGTGATTCTGCAATCTGCATTTGGGGTAAAAATTGGGAGTTCATAACCCACCTCAATCTAATGTTTGAAATATGATATGTCAAGAGCTTTGTAATGTTGTGAACAACCAATAAAAAAAATAAAAAATAAAAAAAAATAACCTGCTTGGAACATCCTAACTGCATAAAGTTAACTTAACAATTATTGGTTTTGTATCTTGGTTGTTTTGCTACAATTGACTTTTTTATTCATATTCTAAATCATACTTCTTGATTCTTTTTTACAAAAGCTTTTGGTATCTTTTTTATTTTAATATATTCCTATGTTGTCTATATTATATTTTATATTGAATAGTAGGTAGTCTTTTCTCTGGTAATAGAATTTCAGGAGTGCAGGCCTCTATACCTAGTTCCTTATTTTTCAGTAGTATTACATTGAGCAAAACATAAAAATAAATACATAAAAATTAAAGGTGGTACCAGTTGGTATTCTGTAAGAGGCATGGCTTTATGGACTTATAAAGGGCGAGAAGTTAAGTACGATCTTAAGATTTTTGGTGGTTGCTACAATTAGGTAGAAGAGGAAAAAAACAAAGCAAATAAGAAAGGAGACAGATAAACTAAAGAGGTGTGGTAGGAAGCAAAGTAGGGTCAACAACATTTCTCCCTGATTGCCCAAAGTTTCCGTGATGTTTGAGATGACAGTTTATATTTGCACTTGCCAAAGTAAAGCAAGTTTTAATGGTGTCCTTTGACCATATCTTCATGGTATAATAGAATAAAACTAACAAACATGGAAGTATATTTTAGCTCTTTAAGAAAATCAGCCCTTTACTCATGGTAAATCATTATTAGCTTATAAGCTACTATAAGAATTCTCTTATGCCCCCATGTATATGCTTGGTTAGCACAGGCATTGAGCAAGTATTTTCATGACCATGTGTGTGTCAGCCATCTATGTTTTTATATTTGTATAGAGTCATCCTTGAAATTTTTATATTGATGATCATGCATGACCTTGTCCTAGAAATTTAGTGCTACTATATAATGGATAATTATATGTTTATTTAATACTTGCTCAGGTCGCCTCTAGTTTTCATTGCTATGGATGTTATGAAGATATTTTGTAAGCCTGCTTCTAACTCTATAGCATATAAATTGTTTTTAAAAGTCATAGTTGAAAATATTGAAGTAGCACGGCCTTTTGTATGTTGTTGTTGTTGTTTAAGCTTATTTTTACTTTTCAGGTCACAGTAGACATACTTCCTATTAAATAATTCTTTTGTCTTCCCAGTGTCATACATTCAGTTTTCTTTCTTCCTGTCTGGCCAATCTCATCTAGCCAATCTCCTTTGCTTTACTTTAAACATTGATTATCCTGAGGTTTTCATCAGTCTTTACATCCTCCTCTTCATCTGTGCACTCTTGTGGTGATGACATCCATGCCTGTCACTACACAAGCCATCTGGGTGCTGGTGATTCCCACTTGAGCAGCTCATCCAGGATCGCCCTCAAGCTTTGGTCCTGAAAACCTGATTCCTAACTCCTAGCTTTCTCTTAACCCAAGGGTGTCTACTTGTGCATGTCCATGCTACTCCATTTGAGGTCACCATTCTCTCTTGTGCTAATTCAGGTAACATCGTGATTGGTGCTTCTTCCCATCTTCTTTTACACTATCACTTTTCTGCTTAAAGCCAGCAGTAGTTTTGCTTTTCCTTCTGATTGAAGTTTAGACTTAGTTAGGCTTACAAATCTTGGGATCTAATCCCTAGTTACTTTTCTAATCTCATCTCCTTTTCCTAACTCCGCACCTCAGTGTTTAGGACATAGCTTCAGTTATCTTAAATACTATTATGTCATGTGTGCTTTTGCTACTGGACTGCTGATTTCTCCACCTAAAATACTTTACCTCCACCTAAAACACTACCGTCTATGAAGAATAAAATACTTTATTCTTTAATAAAGATATAGTCCTTAATGTGACTATTTCCTAAGCATTCTTAAGAGCTCAAGTTTGATATCTTGGCATTCTGTTATCTACTCCAGCCTCATAAATTTGTATCTCAGCCCTCTGTATGTGTGCCTTCTATATCTTCACCATTCCCATCATAATACTTAATACATGGGGTTGTGTTTAACTGGGTGCTTATCAGTCTTCCCTACCAAACTCTTAAGTTCCTGGAGGGGGAAGTACCAGGGAAGGCATCCTTCAGTCTCACTTCTCTTTGGATGTTAGTGCCTTTCACAGTTCCAGGCACATAGTAGGCTGTTGGAATTGGATATGTAAATTTGACTTTAGAGAAGGGATCACCTTCTCTTTTGACATTGAAAATGTACATAAACACACATTTTCACGTCCTTTCTTAATCTGTATGTTTTGATCTGGCCCTCACAGAAGTCCGGTTGGCTGCTATCTCCACCCAAGATCACATACATAGATACATACTTGTACACACATACATATACACATAAGGCACAACTTCAAGTACAGAATTTGATAGAACTGTAGTTTGTGCTGTGTGGTAGCCATGATTTTTATTTAAACCCATCTTGACAACATTCCAGTAAATTGCCCTATTTCCGTTTCCTAAATTAGTGTAAGCAATTAAAGAAGCCACATTTACTTGTAAAACATCATGGTTTTGATATAATTTGCATTTTATTCCGTAAAAATGTCATTTTCTGTTCAACTATAAAGAAAGTACTGTTGAGCCACTATGTACTCATAGAATGAATGTAAGCTATTTTTCTCTACAGACGATCTAAAAAAGCATGTAATTCTGATGCTGCTTTTGATGAGTTGTGGTTATATATTCTCTTTGTAAAGTTAACTGGACCATTAGGAGATCAATCCCATGCATGACCTTGACCTCATTGCCACTCCACTGAAGGCAACTGAGCCCATAGAAAAAGGCAGAAGATATTTCATTATTTTTACTCATCAATTACTCCTAAATGTATTAGACTGTATTTGCTTTTGCTTTTGTGCTGCTGTGAATGCTTTGCTTTGGAGTCTTCCTATGATTGACTCCTTGACTCAAGTGAAATGCTAGCTCCTCAGAAAGGCTAGTGCAGTCCACTAAAAGAGGTCTAGTGGCCCTTTTATTGTCTCCATTTTACATGTTTGCATCTCTAATTATTTTGATTGTATATCTTTTTTTTTCTCCTTTCCATGTAATATGTATTTACTGAATGTGGAATTTGTCTTGTTCACCCTGTTTCCTCAGTAATAGAACAGTCTCTAAAAGTAGTAAATTTTCAGTAGATATCTGTTGGGTGGCAGACTATTGTTATAAAATGCTTAACTTTATTATTTAGATTAGTAAACTTACTATTAGAAAGTAATTTCCCTCAAAATAGAGTTGACATCCATTCCATTCAATAAATTTTTAACATGTCTTCCCCCTTAATAACAGTTACTATCTAATTTATGACATATCTTTGGTACTTCAAAACAGTTGCAAGTTACACCAACAAATATTAATACTCTCCTCACCACCAAGGGGGTCAAGTGGCTTAAACAAGATTTCCATAAGTAAACTGTCCTTGGGTCTTCTAAATCAGATAGTTTTATTGGTGTAGAGTCCAATGTATGTGCTGCTGCTAGTTTAGAAGATTCACAATAATTCTTAAAACAAGCTGCTTGGGCTGGGGATATAGCTCATTTGGTAGAGTGCTTGCCTCACATGCACAAAGGCCCTGGGTTCAATCCCCAGCACCAAAAAAAAAAAAAAAAAAATCCCCAAGTCCCGTAAGCTATCTTTAGCTCTATAACTATTCTTTTCAACATTAACCTAAAATCTTGGCTTCTGTTATAAACAGTAAAAGTTAAGATTTGACTATTTTTTTTGTTATATTGGTGATATTTAAAATAATGTTATATATTCCGTTAATGGTAAAGTCTATTATAGTGTGAGTTAAAGTAATATGATTAATACCTTCAAACACATTTCTTGGGGGTAGGAGAGTGGAGAGCGATCCAGGGAGGGTTAGTAGCCCTTTTTGTTTCATTTTCTTAGGGCACTAAAACATGAAAGAAGGCAAAGCTACCCATTATTCCTACTATGTGATACTATCCTTATTACTATAGTCCTTCACTGCCTTTCCTTTCATTGACTCCATCTCTGTTCTCAGGTCTGTGGAAAGTTTTGGTTAATGATTTCTGTCATCAGAAATGTAAAATGCTTTTCAAACTGCTCAGTATAGACCACATTGCAGTTGCCAGTGAGAACATTCTCTGGAATCTTTTTTTTGGTATCTTCAAGAAAGTAAATGATTACATTTACTTTCCCAAAGTACATATTACAAAGTAAGCAATTTGGAAAGTGAAAACTGTTGAATCCATTTGTCATTTATTCCAACAGTCTCTTCAACTCTGCCTGCCTCAGCATTGAGATTAGTAGTTAAAAGAGTTAAAAACAACACGAGTCTTTCAGTAATCTACTGTTCTCCTGTCTTCCTTCTTTGATGTTTTTCCTAGAATAGACTCATAAAAAAAACAAGTTGAAGTTAGGACTAATATGGTAAATTAAAAGTAGTGTTATTCTTGTATCTCTGACCCTTTCCTTGGCATTCTTAAATAGCCTAAGGGAAAATTTGATTGGTCTCTGCTGTCTGTGTTGTTATGCTCCAGAACGTGTATGTGTGTGGACTTTGCATTAGATAATTGGATATATCTGGGTTTGGCAGGATCAACAGGGTTAAATTAGAGGGGTGTGCTTGATGGGATGAAGGAAAGACAAAAGTGTTGTCCAGTTAGCTCTCAGTTTCCTCCATTGCTAATTCTGCATTCCAAGAAATAAAAACCATGTCCCACTGTGTGCCTTTTCTCTTAGAGTGACAATAGATAGTCAGTCAATAGCACTACCTATTTCTTAAAAGAAAGGTCATTCTAAGTTTCCCAGTATTGTGACTTGGAAATTGTTTATCAGTCAGTATGACAGACATTTTAGTAGAAAAGCTTTTAGAGGTTGTGATAAGTTAACTTTCCATCAGTTGTCAGTAAGTGAGGAGGGAATACTACAGACTCCTCACTGATTAGGTATCCAAGGTTCAATAACTAAATCAAATTGGCAGATATCTCTCTGCATGTAAACTTCCCTCATTTCCAGAGAGAAAGCATCTTAAGTAAACGTCAGGGAAAAGTTTATCCCAACATAAAAACCATCAAACTATAATCAAGTCTGGTCTGTATTAGTCTACAAGATGGCTTAAGATAGTATAATAAAAAGTAAGCAATTTGGAAAGTAAAAATTGTTGAATCCACTCATTGTCGTCCTAAAATGTTTCTTTAAAGCAGTACACATGTTTTTCAATAATTTAAGTTTTGTATACTTTGGTCTAAAGCACAATAAACATTTTTATAGCATCTTATGAATTATAATTTAAACTGTAATGAATTAATGTTTAGAATAAAATAGGTATTTTCACATGTAAGTAGTAAAAGTGTTCATTGAAATTTGTTTCCTTTTATTAGGCTTAAGTGGAAACCCTGCAGATTTAGAAAGAAGAGAAGCAGTGTTTGGAAAGAACTTTATACCTCCTAAAAAGCCAAAAACCTTTCTTCAATTAGTATGGGAAGCATTACAAGATGTCACTTTAATTATATTAGAAATCGCAGCCATAGTATCTTTGGGCCTTTCTTTTTATCAACCTCCAGAAGGAGATAATGCACGTAAGTAAATGTGGGTAGGGGATATGTGTGAGTCCAGTTTACTTCCATTCATTTACTTAATATATAACCGTAGCCAGCCAACATTTATTAACTGTGTTATGTGCTAAGCCCTGTTCTGAATACTTTAAAAATGGGTTATATTATTTCAGATAATTTTTACAATAACCCCAAAAGTTAGTGTCACCTGCATTTTACAGCAAGGCACAGAGGTTATTACATGTGAACATTTCACATGTATGACATTGTACTATCAGGGTTTTTAAGATCTTTAGGACATTATTCTATTATGAAATAATTCCAGTTTTTTATTTTTGAATATTTTGAAACTATTGTTATGAAAGCAAAATTCTATTCCCAAATCCCATTACTTTTCAAGTTCTTAAAAATATTTTGTTATATCCGTGTTAATGTATGTTGTTACATACATACCTTGTTTGCCATTATATAAATGTTTATTTTACAGATTGAACTTTCCTTATCTGAAATGCTTGGAACTGGAAATTTTGAATTTCAGACTTTTTTTGGATTTTAGAATATTCATAGATACATATTAGATACCTTGGGTAGGAGATCCAAGACTAAACAAATTTATTTGCATTTCATAGGTACCTTTTATTCATAGCCCAATAGTGATTTTATATAATATTTAATAATTTTCTGCATGAAACAAAGTTTCATGATGTAGAATTTTCTACCTGTTGCACCATGTAATTGCTCAAAAGGTTTCAGATTTTAGATTTTGGAATTAGCAATGTTAGAGTTATAAAATATATCCTGACCAATGGAGGAAATACACTGAAGAATGGGTGGATCTGCTTTAACTTGTCATTACAAATTATTTTGTTTGCTCCTGTCTTTTTATACCTTTCATTTATCCTTTAAATTTCTTCTTTATATATCACAAGATGGATTTCACCAAATATTTTTGTTTGGGGAGTTTCATTCTTAGTACTTTCAAGCTATGGAGAGTTTAATAAATATTTGGTAATTCTAAAAGTTGGCTTATGTAATCACGTGTCATTCCTTTAAAGGTGTGCCTAGTGCTGATGCAAAAATTTATTTTTCTAAAAAAAAAAAATCATCCAAGCACATAATAAGCCCTTAACAAAGATCATCCATCAGTATTAGTTACGACTGGAGTGCAGGAGCTAGCTAAAATGTTGCTGATAGACTCAAGCAAGGAAGATCTAATCTTCATGTTATCCAGGAAGAAACTGAGGCTCAAAAATCTTAACTAGAATATATATAATCCATTTTTTTTTTGCTACCTTGATTCCCACCTGTCTTACATCATCAATAAATGCTTATAAGTTTAAATTCATGAAAGGGAAATAAATGTGAATTGTGCCTGATTGTTAAAACCCTGGAATGCTTAGCCACTGAGCCACATTCCCAGCTCTTTTTTAGTTTATATATATATTTTTTTTATTTTGAGACAGAATCTCATTAAGTTGCTTAGGGCCTCACTAAATTGCTTAGGCTGACTTTGAGCCTAGAATCTTTCTACGTCTGCCTCCTAGGCCACCGGGATTACAGGCATGTGCCACTGTACCTGGCTAAAACATATTTTTTTCTTTTTGGAGAAAGTTGGTTACAGAATAAGCTCGTCTATCAGAGATCCATATAGAGCAGCACTGTTGACATTTTGTGCCAGAAAATTTTTTGTTGCCATGTTCATTGTACCACCTTCCAGTTGAGGAAACCAAAAATGTGTCCACATTTTATTAGGTGTTCTATAGGGGGCAAAATTGCCTCTGGTTGAAAACCACTGATGTAGATGAGATTTAGGCATTATTGAGCCAAATTATTTTTCTAACTTCATTTATTCTTATTAAATAAAGTTTACATATTTTGCTATTAAAAAAGTTAGGAGAAGAGATGGTTCAAATGAAAAAATGGAAAAAAATTTTCATGGAAAAAAATCCCACTTTCCAGAGATTTATGGTATACCATTTTTTAAGAATATTTCCTTCCAGATTTTAAAAGATGGGTTTTATGTCTGTGTGTGCTCATATATGTGACTATGCATGCATAGATAGATGTGGGAGACGTGTAGATATGTCTGTTGATCTGAAAAGTGAGGTCATACCAGGTTTAGCAATGTAGAGTTGAATTTTTCAGTTTTCCATGTACCAACTGTCACTGTAGAATATTAGCAATTTGTATTTTAGAGTTGAGTGAGTCGGCAAATTTTCAAGAATACTTTCAAATTTAGTTCAAAAGACTAAAACTATAGAAAATGATTTTCAGTGGAGTGTAATTCATTACACAACAAGGTCTAGGGCAAATCTTTCTGGAATTCAAACTACTTCATTTATAGGATGTACTTGATGGGTCCTTCCCATATCTGTTACCAATGCTGGTATCAGAATCCATCTTAGAAGATAATCTAGAATTGTCAGTGTCATAAAGCCATTTTAAAAGCTCAGAATACACTGGAAGTTTTTACTAAAACATAAAGATATTTTTGCTCCATTCCATGTTGAAAAGATAGTGTTTGCACTTTATGTTTTTAATATTTGTAAGAACACTGCATATATCTGCTTTTCCAATTATGTTTTAACACTAAGCAGCAATAACTTGCTTAAAGAAAGGGCATATGTGTAAATTCCCAGTCATAGAACTCTAAATTATCAAAATTTCTTGCTAATGGTTGGCAGGAAAATGTGCCCACACTATGTACAAACCTGTGATTGCTCATGTTTGCATACCAGTGGTTCTCGACATTTTGGTTTCAGGGCACGTTTGGATTCATGGTATTGAGGACTATAAAGAGCTTTTTATTATGTGATTTATTTATAGGTATATAGTGCTAAATAGAGAAATCTTAAAATGCTAATGTGTTCTCACAGGGTGGGGGCTTGGTAGCCATATAAGGTGATAGACATGTTAATTCACTCATTATGGTAACCACTTCAAAATGTAGATATGTATCAAAAGTATGCCTTAAATATATGAATTTTTGTCACTCATACCTCAGTAAAGCTGAAAAAATATTTATCAGTGCATTTTAAAATAAGCCTATTATAGTTAGTTTCTATCAAAATGCTACTCATCTATACTAACTATCCTCGTCACCTCCCCAAGTAATGAAATTTTTAAGAAAATAATGAAAAAGGTGATGGTGTTTTCCACTTCTGTGTCTGTATTTAATGTCTGGCTTAATTGAGAGCTGGGTTCTTCTGTCTCCTTCTGAATTTAATGTGTCACATTATTTCATAAAATGTTATCTTTGGAAAATTCTATTACACATCAGTGAAAGATAAGGCAAATAATGTTTTAGTGTTACAAAGAGTGAAGATGAAAATTAGGTTATGCATATCAATATATACACAGGGAAATACTTTGGTAAAATAGATTTTTGTTATTGTTTTTGTACTTGAACTGAAAACATTAAAATACTTTTTTATGTGGCTGTAAACTAGTACTTTTGTAACTTTGAACATGGTGTTATTTTCTTTTTTCTACAGCTCCTCTAAAAATTTGTAATAGTCAACAACAGGAAAAGGATTCAATTTCTAGAAATATTTTGCTACTATTTCACTATCATTCTGATCTTATCTGTATAATATAGAGGAGTGCCATATATGAAATGAAGTGTGTCATTAATTTGTTTCAAATTCTCTTTTGAACTATTCATTCATTTAGTGATAAATATGCATGTGAGTTTTAAAACTAAAAATTATGTAATTGTCATACATTTTCTTCTTCTTAGCCTCTGTTACATTGATCTTTAAAACGTTTTTGGTTAATTACTCTTATTAGTAAAAAGTTTGAGCACATGCCTCTATATTACTTATAAGTTTATGTACAACTATCTTTGTAATGTATTTTAAGCATATTCAAAAGTAGAAAATGAATAAAAAGGTTTAATTTTTTTAATAGCTGTAAAAAATTGTTAAGCCTAATTTGATCTAAGTTTGATTTACTTCTTAACTTGGTTTTATCTTTCATAGCTTAAAAGAAACATATATTTATTTACCCAAGTTGAAAAGTGTACTCACTTAATCGTGATGCTCATTCTCAGTTCATCTATCAATTACATGAAATTATTTGTTGAAGCATGACAGATTGCATCTTCTGATGTCAGTTGGTTCTTGCACATTATTATAAAATATTGTTTTTTGTGTTTTTAATAAACTATATAAAACCCACTTATTGCTTCACTTGGATAATATTTTAGCTGTGTTTTCAGGTTGATGAAAGTGTTCAGTGTGGCATTTCAGTGTTCATCTGTTCTCAAATCCAGACTTGCTCTGATTCAGAGTGTTACTGTTAATCTCCTATCCTTTTGGTATGGAAAGGATGAAGAAGAGTTGTCCTTAAGCTTCCTATGTTTAAAAGAAATGTAAACAATAATTCTCTTAATTTGTTATTATATACAATGACATATGATCCTTCCTTAAGCTTGAAAATAATTAAAACATAAGTTGCAGTATTTGAGTTGACCATCCGGCTCTGTAGAAAAGTTGCTTTATACCATTAATGACTGAATCCTACTGATAGTTCTCAGGATACTTTTTGTGGATATTCATCTCTCTTTTCCATTTCATCCCCTGTTGATCTTATAATTATGTTGCCTTCTTCTTAAAACTGTCCCACTTGCATCTCCCAAGATTAATCTTCAGTTAGTGTCCTCATACCCAGGATCTCTTCTTCAGTCTCTGCACACAGTTCTGGAGCTTATTCATTGCTAGTTTCACTTATTTACTTATTCTTCTGTATCATTTTTCCTCTGCTTTGTTTGTCCAACCAGTGACTTTCAGGTATTTCAGTTCAGTGGAAAATAACATTTACATAGCAACCCAGAAGAATATATCCCGTCAGGTGTATATATAAACAGCCAGAGTAAAGCTTCAAGAAATAATACTTAAAACTCTTCCTACATCGTCCTTATTTTTTTCTGTTTCATTTTTCAAAGTATTGCTTATAGACCACTGAATTGATTTTAGACTCACAAGTGCATTATAGCAGAAAGCCCAAAAACCATCATTTCATTTTTCTTTACTTTATTTATTGACCCCCACGGTTTTGGGGTTTTTTAGGTTTCCATCCCCATTCTTTTCTGAACTCTTTTTCTGACTTACAGCAATTGTACTGACTTTAATCTGTCATTGAAATCTTCTTCCCTTGAGTCTATATGGCTGGTTCCCTGTTAACATTTGACTCCTAGCCCAAATGTTACAGACACCTCAGAGGGGCTTCCTTAGTTCATACAGCCTCTATTAACCCTCCTCATTTCATAGCACATCAGCATGTTTTATTTTCTTTGTGGCACTACAGATCTCTGAAGTTAATTGTTTGTTTCTTCTTTATTTGAATTTGTTATATACCATTCCTACCTACTGGTCTGCATGTGAAATCCATGAGCTTATATGTTTTATTTACTTCTCTATCTCAATCTTCTAAGATAGTGTCTGGCACCTAGTAGGTTCTTGTACAGTTGAATAAGAAGTAGCACTTTGCACTTTTTTTTTTTTTTTTTAACAAATTGAAGGTTTGCGGCAACCCTATGTCCACCAAGTTACTTGGGTATTGGCATCTACCCACTAATGTCTCTGGTCACGTTCTTCTGAGTCCCATTTAGTAATTCTCACAGTATTTTAAACTTTTTCATCATCTTATATCTATTGTGGTGATATGTTATTAGCGATCTTTGATGTTACTAATTGTGCTTGTTTGGGGGTACAACAAATCACAGAACTTAGTTGAAAAATGTTGGGTTCTGATTACACCAGTGGACCATGCCCCCATTTTTTTTTTCCTTCAGGCCTTCTTATTCTCTGAGGCAATAATACTGAAATAAAACCAACTAATTCTTCTACAATGTCATATAAATATCAGGTGAAAGAGTAGCATGTCTCCAATTTCCAGTCAAAATCTAGAATTGACCAAGTTTACTGAGGAAGGCATTTGAAAACAAAGATAGACTGAAAACTAGTTCTTTTTTGCCAAACGGCCAAGTTGTAAATGCAAAGGAAAAGCTCTTAGGACAACTTAAAAGTGCTACTTCAATGAACATACATTGGTAAGAAAGTGAAATAGTCCATTGCTAATAGGGAGAAAATATATAAGTGGTCTAGATATAGGATCACAACATTTCTGTAACTAGAGTAGGGTGCTAATTGATTTCAATTCCATGAAGGCTTAAAGAAGTGAGGAAACTGCAGAAGATAAATTTGAAGACAGCAGCAGTAGGTTCATGAGGTTTAAGTAAAGAACTCTTTGGGGAACATGTAAGTGCAAGGTGAAGCAGTAATTGCTGATATAAGCTGCAACAATTTGTGTAGAAGATGTAGCTATAATGATTGATGAAGGTGGTTACACTAGACTACAGATTTTCATTGTATGTGAAACAGCCTTATCTTAGAAAAAGACGCCATCTAGGACTTCCATAACTAGAGAAAAGTCAATACCTGGCTTCAAAGTACAGGCTCATTTTCTGTTATTGGCTGATGCAGCTTGTGACTTGAAGTTGAAGCTAATGCTTATTTGCCCATTTCAAAAATCCTTAAGAATTATGCTAAATCTTTGCCTAAATGGCAGAACATCTGTTTATAAAATGATTCTTGAATATCTTAAGACCACGGTGGAGACTCACTGCTGTGGGGTGGAGGGGCGGGGATTCTTCAAAATATCATTACTAACTAACCATGAATCTGGGCACCTAAGAGCTCTGATCAAGATGTACAACAAAATTAATGTTGTTTTAACATCTGCTAACATAACAGATGTAATTGTTGATTATTCAAAATCTCATTTATGAAATACATTTAATAAGGCTATCGCCACCGTAGATAATGATCCCTTTGGAACTGGATCGAGTAAATAGGTGACTTATTTCCTGAAGATTTTCAGTTTATGTAGAGACCATTGAAGACATTGATGATTCATTGGAAGAACTCAAAATATCAGAATTAATAATAGGTTGGAAGTGAATTCTATCATGAATGATGTTGAGGGGTTCACAGCTTCAGCGGAGAAAATAACTGCAGATGTGGTGCAAACAGAAGGAGACCTAGAATTTGATATGGGCCCTGAAGATGTGACTGAATTGTTGCACTTTTGTGACAAAACTTGAATGGACCAGGAGTTTCTTGTAGATGAGCAAAGAAAGTGATTTCTTGAGATGAAGTATACTTCTGATGAAGATGCTGTAAACACTGTTGAAATGATAAGGGATTTAGGATATTATGTAGACTTAATTGATAAAGCAGGAGTAGGATTTGAAAGGATTGACTCCAATTTTGAAAGATCTGTAGGCAAGATACACTTTAACATCATCAAGTGCTGAAGAGAAGTCTTTCATGAATTGATGTGGCAAATCTCATCATTGCCTTATTTTTAAGAAAGCTCAACTACTGCTTCATCCTCCATCAACGACCACCTGATCATTCAGTAACCATAAACATCAAGGCAAGACCCTCTACCAACACAATGTTATGACTTGCTGAGGGCTCAGATGATTGTTAGCATTTTTTGACAGTATTTTTAATTAAGTATTCGTTTTTTAGACACACTACTGTTGCATACTTGCTAGTCTTCAGTTCAGTATAGACATATATGCACTGGGAAACCAAAAAAAAAAATTGTGTGACTCACATTTTTGCAATGTTCATTTTATTGCAGTGGTCTAGAATTGAAACTGTGACACCTGTGATTTGATCTTCAACGTGTTTTCTTCTAGTACCCTGGACCATCTCCCCATCCTACTGTTGAAAATCTCAGGGACAGGGAACTTGAAATTGAGATAGTAAACATTCTTGAATTTGTAGATACTTGGAGTTCACAGAGTGTCTAAAACTATAAGTAGAATTGATGAAATTAAATATTAATACATGAAAACATTGTTTAGACATATATATAGTCATCCATTCAAAACCTTTTTTTTTTTTTGATAAGCATTTTCTTTCTTCCCATTAGTTTGTGGAGAAGTTTCTGTTGGGGAGGAAGAAGGTGAAGGTGAAACTGGTTGGATTGAAGGAGCTGCAATCCTCTTGTCAGTGGTGTGTGTGGTATTAGTTACAGCTTTCAATGACTGGAGTAAGGAGAAACAGTTCAGAGGTTTGCAGAGTCGAATTGAACAAGAACAGAAGTTCACCGTCATCAGGGGTGGGCAGGTCATTCAGATACCTGTGGCTGACATTACTGTTGGAGATATTGCTCAAGTGAAATATGGTAAGTATGAAGGAGTAACACAAATGACTCTAAATGTAAAATTTATTATAATCTTGTTTCTGGTTCAACATGTCACTACTTTTTGTTTTAGGCGATCTTCTTCCAGCTGATGGCATACTTATTCAAGGCAATGATCTTAAAATTGATGAAAGCTCCTTGACTGGTGAATCTGATCATGTTAAGAAGTCTTTAGATAAGGATCCCTTACTTCTATCAGGTATGAAATTTTTTAATAAATTTTGATCTTTTCCCTCCCCCACAGTTATGTACCATTGTTAGCAGTTTCTTTCACTTAAGAGTCCATGATGTGAAGAGGAATCAGTATTTTATACTAGCTTACCCTTAAAATTCTTAGAGACTATTTTTTTTTTTTTGTAAAATGACAGAGACATTACACGTCTGTATCCAGAGCTATATTTTACAAATGAGGTATCTGAGTCCATAAAAACAAGAAATTTGAAAGCTAGTTAATGTTAATGTCTAATGATAAAACTAAAATATAGTGATATTTATTGAATTGGTTTTGTTCTGTTATCACCTTTATTCTTAAGGCTTGTTGAAGTATAAAATTAAAGAAGGTTTAAAGCAAATTAATGAGAACTCTGTGATGGTGTACTAAGGACAGGTGTTTTGTTTACCTAATCTAACTCATTCTTTTAACTGGTGAAGAATGAGTCTGAAATGTAAACCATTTATCCAAGATTTGTATGACTAGCTAACAGTAAATACAGGAGTAGCATTCATAAATTCCAGTCAGGAATTTGTACATGTTAAAGACTTGGAGAAAAGAAGGATTTGTATAGGTAAGGGTACCATTTGAGAGGGAGGCCATAGCCTAAGTGTGATAACTTGAACTGAGGTTAGTTGGAAATGAAATGGCAAGGATGATGAAAAAAAAAAAAAAAATCACAAGCTGGGGCCGGGAATGTAGCGCGCTCACCTGGCATGTGTGCGGCCCAGGTTCGATCCTCAGCACCACATACAAACAAGGATGTTGTATCTGCCGAAAACTAAAATAAATATTAAAAAATTCTCATTTTCTCTCTCTCTCTCTCTCTCTCTCTCTCAAAAAAAAAAAAATCACAAGCTGCCTTCTGATATGCAGAATGAGAAGCTGAAGTATCAGAAATGGATGCTAATTTGTTAAGTTGGATTGCTAAGATACTTATTCTTAATTGTCCAGTATTCTCTAAAGAATTTAAGAAACTGTCACAAATATATTTATTAGGTTGAATTTGTATAGAGTTTGGGAAAGCCAATTGTTGCCTGTTTGTCTTCTACTGTTACTATCAAATTTTAGTGGAATGCTAACATTTTATGCATTGTCAGAAGATTTATGCTGATTTAAATATCTAATAACTTGGGAATTGTAAATTTTAATCCTTTTCTGTGAGTTTTATATTTTAATTAGTTGAACATGATTTCACTAAAACTGAAGTCAAACCTATGATATCTGCAAGGGTAAGTTAAGTTAGAACCAGAACTTCAGAGCAGAACCTAAGTTTAACTACTGCCTTTTTAAGATTTGTGAATGTGTGATGAAAAAAACTTATTATAAGGCTCTGGGCTGTAGCTCAGTGGCAGAGTGCTTGCCTAGCATGTGTGAGGCACTGGGTTTGATCCTTAGCACCACATAAAAATAAACAAATAAAATAAAGGCATGCTGTCCATCCACAACTACAAAAAAAAATTTTTTAAACACTTATAAAAAGAATTATGGTAATTACATGTATATATGCTGAAGAACCTTGCTATAAAAAAATCAGAGTAATTGCATAAATATATCCCATTTACCAAAAAAACCCTGAGACCTATATACCTTTAGTATTCCACTTAGGATATGCCACTTAGGATACTCATCCTGTTTGATTTTTTTATTTGTAGTGGTGTACTTGTAATTCATACCAAATAGAAAAATTTTGATATGTAATCTATTTAAGTAATACATATTCATTTTACTGATTCTTTGCATACTTCTGAAAAACTATAGTTAATATTAATCACATAAAATCTATAACCTTGCCAAAGGGAAAGGAAGGTGTCTAATCATATCTTACCACCACAGGCTGACTGGGCCATGTTATTTGGCAAACTGAGATAGTCTCCTGTTGCCTTGTGCTATATATACTTCATGGACTTTTATGTACATCTAGCTTATTTACATAGTGCTTAGCTGTTCAGGTTGATTTCCTTTAACTGAACTTTGCTCCTTTTCTATTTTAACAAGAGATGACTGGTGAGCTTAATGTAGACTCAGGTTCCTAACACAAGTATATCAGAAAAACTATAAATTTTCCATGTTTAAGAAAAGACTGAAATAACTTTGTAGAGTCCTTTATCACAGTATGGGTGGGAAAGTTTTTCTGCATTTATTTCCGTATTCTAAAAATGTACTAAAAAACATGACATGCATTTATTTTTAAATTTACTCTCATGATGCCATCTCTCATTGCTGTTCTTGGCTTCTTAAATTTAGATTTTTAAAAGCAGTATTCAGTCAGTGGTGGGATATGACCTGAACAAAAATTGTTTACTTTGTCTGAGCACATTAACTGCCAACATCTAATCAGACTGTAAGGAGGAACAGAGCATAAAAACTGAAATCTTCAAAGCCAGAATTGTTAAAAGAAACCAATTGTCCTTTATACATGACATTATTATCTTGAATTTCATTTCTTGTTCTTTTGCATTTTCACTGGCAAAGTGAAATATAGATTTTTAGTAGAATGTAGATTTTTGAAAGCAAGAAAACTTTAGTTTTTATATTTTCAACATTCATATTAGACAAGTTACTCAGTAATTAATAGCTAAATATACATCTTTATGTGCTAGAATTAAATACATACGCTTTATGAGTAAATACCTGTGAACACTGGTTTGGTATATAAGATGATAGTAGATGCTGCAGACCCTGCCCTCCAGAAGGATTTGAACTGATAAAATGCAAATAAGCAATAAGTGCAAATAAGATTTATTGAATGTAAACAGAGAGAGAAAGTGAATTTTTGAAGCCTGTTTAAAATTGGTAAAAACATTAAATAGCCAGGCATGTGGCATTTACCTATAATCCCAGTGACTCGTGAGCCTGAGTCAGGAAGATCACAAATTCAAGGCCAACCTCAACAACTTAAAGAGACTGTGTCTCAAAATCAAATTAAAAGGACTGGGGGTGTGGATCAGTGGCAAAGGGCCTCTGGATTCAATCCCTAGTACAGATTTTTAAAAAAATAAGGATTGGAATAGTAAAATGGGAAGTCTTTTAACAACGCCTATTTCTGCGTTGTTCCTTACTCATTATAGGAAAACTATAAATATGCATCATTGTTATAAAAGGAAGATAACCTTTGACAGAGCTGGATTGGATCTTTGCCTTACCACCTGATAATTATATAACCTTGGGCAAGTTTCTAGAAAATAAGAATAATAATGCTTTTCTGACTATAAGAGTGGTGTGAGGGGAATAATCTGAATTCAGTTTTTCTATCTCTGCTCCCTTGATTTCTGTAATGGAATTTTATGTTAGAATGGTGGGTGAGAAAGTTTGAAGGTTGGATATTCTCAAGTTATTGAACTTAATTCAGTAAGAAGTGTAGTGTCATAAAGTTTTGAGGCATGAGCATATGATGAAATCAGATTGTAAGAATATAAAAACACATTTCAGGATGAGCTGGAAAGTCAGAGAGATTAGCTAGGGGGCTATTTTTGCGATCTAGGCAGTCTGAACTGAGTCTCTAGGGGTAGATAAAGGTTATAGGGTTGGGTGTGAGAAATTCGACATTCATTGCAGTGGAATTCTTTTTGGCTATAAGCACATTTCTTTATAAACAATGTATTTCTCAAAGTATTCCTCACACTTTATGTTATTATTAATAATAATAAGCATTCATTGAACCCACGATATATATAGGCTTGTTTGAGAAATATAGATCTTATTATATGTCTGTGAAGTGTTAAGTATTTTTATTTGCATTTTATGGATGAGGAAGTGAGATACTGTAATTTGCCCTGTATCACATGTTGATAGAGTGAGCTTTGAACACAAATGATTCTTTAGGTTAAAATCTTATGCACAAGAATTTAGATTTATTTAATGTCTTAATCGGTTTGTTTTAGTAATATTGATATTAAGGATAAGTATTACTAAAGCTTCAATTTGATGGTAGGAAAGAAATGTATTATAATTTTTACAAAGTTTTTTGTTGTTATAGGTACTCATGTGATGGAAGGCTCTGGAAGAATGGTAGTTACTGCTGTAGGTGTCAATTCTCAAACTGGAATTATCTTTACCTTACTTGGAGCTGGAGGTGAAGAGGAAGAGAAGAAAGATGAGAAGAAAAAGGAAAAGAAAAGTAAGAATAGCAATTTGTTCTTAAATTACTATTTAGAAATACAGCAGCAGGATCATAAGAACTTCTATAGAAATAGACTTCTTTCTTGAGATTCTGATATGGAAAATTCTACAGAAATTCAATTACCTAATATTATACTTCCAAGTACTAGTATTAAAGGAGAGAATTTTTCTTTTAAACTTAATAGTCCATTCAGAGACCTTTCATGGCTAAAGATAAAACTCAAAGGAAAAAATAGTCCATCCAAATATTAAACATTGCCTGCTAGGCAGGCGGTCTTCTACTGAGCTATGCCTCCAGCTCCTTGCAGCAGTGTTGAATATCTGGGTGGATTTTTTTTCCTTTGAGTTTTATCTTTAGCCATGAAATCCTTATTTCAAACAAAAATGTATTTGGAAACTTTTGCAAGTGAGGGAGGCAAGCCTGTAGATTTCTCTTACTCTGTTCCTCAAGCCCTCAGTGAACCTCCATACATTTCTGAAGACTGAGCATAGTATAGTTTGAAAATCAGTGGTGATGATGATTAAGTGCTTTGCATGCTCCCTCTCTTAGATTCTCACAGCCATGTGAGGTAAAGACGGTTGTTATTTTTACTAATGAGACTTATAGAGATTGTGTAAACTTGTTCCAGGTCAGAGCATTAGTAAGAGACAGATCCAGCCTTCTCCATTCTGCTCCATATTAATATACAAGAGTTAGAAGTCACTGGATCCTATTTTAAAAAAAAATGTTTACATTATTACTTTATTCTTATTGATTCCACAGTATCTTTTCTAATGAGTACCCTTTTTTCCCTAAGATTCCTAGGAATTACTGTCTGCCTCTTTGGTTTTTTTCTTTCCCCCTTCATAAAACAGGACATTTTTCCTTCTGTGGACTTATAACTTTTTTCCCATTCTCTTGACTACTTTGGCGACTAACTCAAAAGCAGTCCAGTGTGAACTATCTCAGTTTCCTCAGCAGCCAGGATGTGGCTGGCTGGTCTCTCCAGACTTAAACTCATTGAAAGTAGCTAGGTATTCTCTTACTATCTCCTCATCTGTCCTAAGCTTCTGTTCCTTCCTGACCATATTTGTTCCATGTTTTCCAGTTTGAAGATAGTTCTGTTTGATAGAGAAGGTGGAAGAATATAGGTTGAATGCTTCTCCCTTATCATTTTAAGATATTGCCTGCTTCAAACAAAAAACTCATCCCCTTCGTGATTACTTTTACTTCAGATAGCTCATTTTTCTGTGTTCTAGTATTCCTTTAGTTTGGGGAATCACCTTCACTGTAAGTCTGACTTATTCTGTACATTCATATTCTGGTTTTGCTATATTTCCTCTCCTGTCTTGTATCCATGCCTTTTTTGTTTTCATCCCTACCAAAGCTCTCCTATGTGCCTGTTATCTTTTTATAACATTCCTCCCTCCCTCTTTATCCCAGCCCTTTTCTGCTTTCTTAAGGTTATTCCTGTGTTTAGTTTGAAAATCTCTTATACCATATTTGGGTTTATTACAGCTGATAAAAGACTGAAGCCTTATGAAAAAAATCAAACAATTATAGATGCCCTAAATTATTTTGGACTATTCCCCTATGGTAAAACCTAGGGAGTGATTGATACAGCAGGTAATTGCAAACTAAATGTTTTCTAATCTGTGACACACACACATACCCCATTGTGTAACAGTTCTGTTATAGAAATGTGAACTACCTTTGCATAATTTAGCAGGGCTGTATTCATTTCTTTTGGAAAGCTTTAATTCCCATTTTGTTCCTACAGATAAGAAACAAGATGGAACTATTGAGAATCGCAACAAAGGTAAATTCAAGAAGATAAAAGTACAGTTAGCTTGTTTTCATTATATCCAGAAATAGCTCTACTGTATACTATATCCATCCAAAATTAGGATACATGTGGCAGGGAACATCAACAATGTTTATTAACTTGGATTAATCTCTCTTCCTGCTAATGCCTTAGTCATGTTGTCTCTATGATGCTAAGAAGATTTTAATTATGATTTGTGGTAGTAAGCTTATGTAGGTAACTTTCTACATAAGCATTTCAAATATTTTAACATACCTGAAATCTTGTTTCTTTTATAGCTGGTGGCATATGTGCATAAGAAACAATGTATAATGTGAATATTAATATATGCATGTTTCTCTATATGTGTGGTCATAATGTTCTGTTAATCTGAGAGGCATTTATAGACTTTGGATGTTACCTAAAAACATTAATACAGGGAAATAAATTATTTAGTATTCCTTTAGTTCTTAGCCTAAGGACCCTGTGATCATTTTCATCCCCATCACATAGTATGACATTCTCAAATCTGATATAGTTTCATACCCTAATGTCACTGTTGTGTTATTCTTTGTATGTGAGCACATAAACACAGACATAGCTGAATGTTTTTACCTCTTCTGTTTTCTAAGAATCTGATTTTTTAAATAAATTGCTTCAAAATATTAATAGTAATAGGTGCCTTTAAGATGCAGTGAAATTATGTTGCTTGCAAATATAGCTAAAGCCCAGGATGGTGCAGCCATGGAGATGCAGCCTTTAAAGAGTGAAGAAGGTGGAGATGGTGATGAAAAAGACAAAAAGAAAGCAAATTTGCCAAAAAAGGAAAAATCTGTTTTACAAGGGAAACTTACAAAACTGGCTGTCCAGATTGGGAAAGCAGGTAAGATGTATAGAAGAAAATGGTGTTTGTCTTAAAATGCGCACTTTCTGCTCAGAAAGTATCAGTTGATGCAGATAAGGCTGAAAATTGTTGCTTTGTGAGTGTAAGGGAAATTAAAAATAGTTTTTTATTTTTAGCCACAATGTACCAGGCCCTTTGAGTTACTATAGATACTCAGAATAGCATTGCAGCTTACATAAAGGGAATCGTCCTTCATCATTTAGCTAGTAAATGATCAGGTTAAAATCTGTGTCTAAATTTGCCCAGTTTATAAGCCATACACTCATCTCTAAATTTCTCCAAATTTTGGAGGGTAGTGTGCTAGTAGAGAGAGAGCTTGCTATGAAGTTGTTCAACAGATTATCTAACTATAAAAAAAAAAATTATCACACACTTTGTTCATACTTTTATGGGCTATCTATGAAAAATTTGTGTTTCTTTAAACATTATAATTTAGCCAAGCCCAATAGAATTTTTGTAGTGAGGCAAAAGATACTGACTTTCTTCACTAGAAAACATCATTAGTAGAACCCTTCTTTAAGAAAAAAAGCAGAGCTTTTAAAAGATAGAGCATGCCCCAGCATTATCACCTTCTTAAAGAATACTATATGGATAAATCCTCATACTCATTATTAAAATCACTTAATTGCATCACTCTATTGCTTCCAGGAGAATGTTGGGTAAAGTTTTTTCTTTTTTTTTTCTAATTTATTTTTTAGGTGTAGATTGACACAATTCAGTGCCTTTATTTTATTTTTTTTATGTGGTGCTGAGGATCAAACCCGGATCCCAGCCGTGCTAGGCAAGCACTCTACTGCTGAGCCATAATCCCAGCCCAAGCTTTTTCTTCTAAACTCAATAAGTTTATTATCTAGTAAAAAATATTTGTTTTTATAATATGTAGCTAAATCATAATACTGACTCCTTTAGTGTTTTTCCAAGTCAGTGAAGCAGCAAGAATAACCAAAAATAAATTGAGAAATAATAATTCAGATTGTGTGTGTGTGTGTGTGTGTGTGTATACACATATACATGCATGTTTGTTTCAACCATAGTGTTTATTTCCAAGTTTCCCAGTTGATCAGATTCTTACTGGTTTCTGTTTCAGTGTTAGACAAATTGCCTCTTGAATTTGTAAAGCTCCAGCTTATACTAAGCATCTAGTATTTTCTTGTCATTAACTATTAATTTGTCTCTAGTATTTTCTTGTCATTAACTATTATTTTGTCTCAGCCTTAGTAGAAGGCAAAGGATACAGTTAAGTCTAAGAATTGTAAATACATTTTTCCCAGTCCTCCTAGAGTCAGGGCTATACCTGGAAGCAGAAATTAAATCTGACAATGTTAAGTGATGAGTTATGTGCAAAAAGGAGGTAACAGTTTTTCAGAAATGAAAATAAATATTATTGAGTCAGTTATTTCTTTACAGTAGCTAATATATAACTGGCAGTGGTAGTGTCTGGAATATTTAAGTAATTGCATATTTCTCTTTTTTTTTTTGTATCCTGAAAGGTTTGTTGATGTCTGCCATCACAGTTATCATTCTAGTATTATATTTTGTAATTGATACCTTCTGGGTTCAGAAGAGACCTTGGCTTGCTGAATGCACACCGATTTACATACAATATTTTGTGAAGTTCTTCATTATTGGGGTTACAGTTTTAGTGGTTGCAGTGCCAGAAGGTCTTCCACTTGCAGTCACTATCTCACTGGCTTATTCAGTCAAGGTTAGTACAAAATAGTTAGTTGATGTATTATGTTTAAAACTTCAGCTGGTTTGGAAAATGCACATCCAGTTTCTCTTTTCTGGTTCTGAAAATGGAGGATCTCTGTAAGTGTACATTGTTTTCTTTAGAAATGCAGTCACTGATTGTACCCGCCCTTAGCTGAGTATTTCTTTTCATAGAGACCTTATACATGTGGAAGGCATCCTTGATACAGTATTAAGCACAACTCTGCTAGGCCAAGTTCTAACCTAAATTTCATTATGTTAGAGTTATGGTCATGTCACATCACCTCCTCTTTCCTGCTTGTAAAATTAAGGTAAAGATGTTTGTTGTTCTCCTGTGGCACAAAAGCAAAGAGGGTTCAGTAAGGTTCAACTTTTTGAGGCCTTCTTTCTTCCACTCATCCATTCCCATAATTGCCCCACAATCTGGTCTTCATATTTGTAGGCAGATTGATGTTTCCAAAAAATAATTCAGGTTTTATCATTTCCTTATGTAAAACCATAGGACTCTTTACTGTGGTCAATATGGCCCTTGCTGACTTAGTGCTCATATGTTCAACTCTCCCTCCGGCCTTTCTGCTGGCTTTGAAACATTCCAACTGTGATCTGGTTTTACAGGTTTAAAAAAAAAAAAGAAAAAAGAATGCTGCTCTCATAAATTTTGAAATGTTAATTAGCAGTTCTCCTTAAATAACACTGCTAACAGTGAGAAATATAAAGTAATTAGTCATAGTTTCTGCTCTAGCACTCTTGTCTTCAACTATTCCAAAGGGTTTTACAGTAGATAGGCCTGACAAGATAAGAATGTTTTTTGCTTATTGTTTTGAGTTTATTTTCAAAGTGATGGTAAAATACAACATAATCATTTATTTGTCCTTTTAAAAATATTTTTAAATAATTAGAAATAATTGAAGTAAATACAAGTTTTAGGCACATTGATTAGTCATTGTCAATACTATAATTAGTTCATTTTGAGTAGTCATTAATGATATTAATTTTTCAATTGATGAAAAAGATATAAGCAGATTGATTTATATTTGTTGAATAGAAAATGAATGAGAGCATTTTAAACATTTTAAATGATGTTTTTAAGCCTTTGTTAAATGTTTAGCCTTGATGTTACCAATTACTGTTCTTTTTACTACATTATAATCTTCATGGATCTTCTTTTAGTGTTTTGCAAAATTAAACACTTTAATCTTTAAATGTGCAGTTCTCAAGTAATTGGGAAGAACACATTTCTCTTCCCCATATTTATTTCTTCACCGAACTGATTTTCTGTAGCATCTTGCATGTTGATACAACTTTGTAAAAGAACTCTGTAGTTTTTAACCCATTCTACATGTGTTGAAAGCTAATCATAAAGTATATTTAAATGCCCTTTGAAACAGTCATGAAAACTTTTGGCTTCTTGGTTTCTTTTCTAGTTGTAAATGAGAGAAAGTGATGAAACACATTTTGATCCTTAGTATAAAAATATCAAGTCTTCCAGCATATGGAATAGATAAAAATGATCCAGTTGTGGTTTTGATATATTAACTTAGTCTATCAAGTTAGAGAAAAAAAGAAAGAGAAGCAACTGCATACTCACAAGCTCGTTGTTTATCTTAATGAATCAACATTTTCCTTGGTGATTGATTAAAACAGCAGTCTTTTATTTTAAACTTAATAAGGAGACTTCATCCATATTATCTTAGAGTACTCTGAAAACCACTGTACCTGTACATACTGTCATTGCTTTTATAATGTGAAGACATTTTCCTGAGCTTGTTGGAGGTGTATAGTCACTGTGAGTTGCATATAGATATGGGTATCCATATTCATTTATTAGATTATATTATGCACAGAAAAGTGAAACCATGAGAATCTAGTAGTTTATTTGAATAGTCAAATGTACTATTATTCTTCCAGTATTAAATTGGTACTCTTTACAATGTGTTTATGTAAGGCAGAGAGTTTTAATGCTGATTTTGTCATTTTACTATAATGATATAATAAGTTTTATATGTAGTTTAACTCTTATTTTTTTGTTACTGTAGAAAATGATGAAAGATAATAACTTAGTAAGGCATCTGGATGCGTGTGAAACCATGGGAAATGCTACAGCCATTTGTTCAGATAAAACAGGAACATTGACAATGAACAGAATGACAGTTGTTCAAGCTTATATAAATGAAAAACATTATAAAAAGGTTCCTGAACCAGAAGCTATTCCACCAAATATTTTGTCCTATCTTGTAACAGGAATTTCAGTCAATTGTGCTTATACATCAAAAATATTGGTAAGGTTTCTTTAATATATATGTGAATATTAATTCTTAAGTCTGCAATGATTAGACTGCATGTAATCTTTCAGATCTATAATTTGAACCGCTTAGTGTTAGGTTTTTAAAAGACATCCATATAATAATTTATGTTTCTTTTGATATAGTTTGTATTATGAGTAAGATTTGTTAATCAACATACACATTCTATTTACTTATGTGTTTTTTCTTTTTCTTTTATTCTTTCTTTTTTTTTTCTTGGCACCAGGGAGTATTTAGAAATCTCAAGTCTTAGAATCAGAACACCAGAACACGTTCTTAATTTTAAATTCTTATTAAGCTCATTTGGGGAAAGACCAGATTGTAGAAAGTCAGCTGTCAGTTTTCAGAGATAATTTTGAAGACAAATTTCAATTGAAAATGACGTGTTTTTTATAAATGCCTGCAGCATGCCCTGTTTCTCAGTAGTCCCTATCTTTAAAGTTGTCTGTAGACTTACAGCCAATAAAGTTATAGGCTTGTGCCACCTTGGAATAAAATATTTTCAACTTTGCAGATTCCAAACATTTATTATAGAAAGCATAAAGCTTATGTTCAACTTGATATATACTAATGATTTGTGTATATAAACCGTAACAAAATAATATTGCAAATGGTTTATATTGTGAAAAGTGACTTTAATTGGATGAGTGGACTGCAAAGTTATGGGATTTTGGTTCTGAATCCCTTTTTGTCTTTTACTAGCTGAAAGTCTGAGCTTTTGCTTTAATTATTAAAAAAAGATAATCACATATGCCTTTAATATCGTTGTGGTGATTATATAAGGAAATGTTTGAGAGGGTATTATGGGGGAAAAAAAGAAACTTCTTAATGCACTTAAGGCAATAGTACCTTATTTTAAGATGTAAAAATCAGTAATGTAGATTTTACTTTGAATTATTAAGTAAAAGTCAATTAAAACAGGAAGAGAAAAAGGAGTTATAATTAATTCCCATTGTGCATCAAGAAACAACTATAAACTTTACATATTTATTTTGTTCAATTCTTGGGTCATGAGTGCTCCTGTTTTACAGATGCTGAAGCCAAGGACCAGAAATCTCGTAACTTGCCAGAAGTTTACATAGCTAGTGCCTAGCAATTGGAACTCATGTCATTCTGTCTTACTTCAAGCTCCTTTCTACCTTGCCATTCTATGTTGTTTTAAATATTGATACTAACAGACATTTTCAATATAATTTTACTTTAGAATGTCACATTCTATTTTACACTATAAATTTAAGTTTTCATAGGGAAATACAGTGATACTAGCTTCTAATCCTTTTCCTCTTAAAGCCACCAGAGAAAGAGGGTGGATTACCTCGTCATGTTGGTAATAAAACTGAATGTGCCTTGTTGGGATTTCTCTTGGATTTAAAACGGGATTATCAGGATGTTAGAAATGAAATACCAGAAGAAGCACTGTACAAAGTCTATACCTTCAATTCTGTCAGGAAGTCCATGAGTACTGTCCTGAAAAATTCAGATGGAAGTTTTCGAATATTCAGCAAGGGTGCATCTGAGATAATTCTGAAAAAGTAAGTAAAATGCTTAGATGAATAAGCTTTTGCCTATCCTTGCTTTATAGAAAACCTTCTCTGTTGTTTTTCTTATGGTTTTCTTTTTTTGAGTATCAGGCACTTGATGGAATCTTAGAGCCCTTTAGCTTACTTTATGTTATCCAGGTACTTACACTGTGGTGTTCTGCCATTTTCACACTCTAGTTTCTCTTATTTCTTACTATTTTGCTGTAGGGAAATTAAGCCTATTGTGTTCAGTCTGGTAAATTTAATAAAAGAAACTTTAATGTTTGGTCTTAGATATGTTGATTCTATTGTTTTATAAGATCATGAAAATTTCCCTTTTATATCACAGTGACCTTTATCTTTTACTGTTGCAATGTCATATTTAAATATCTCATTCATTTTGTGTTGTAATCTTGTTTCTTACTGTTCTTTTACAGACCAGAAGCTTTCATTTTGACATTTCATATTTTCTTATAATTTCCCTAATGTTTATCTATTACTACAGGTGTTGAAATTAATTTTGGCTTCTTATATTCCAATAGAGACTGTTTAAAAAAATTTTTTTTTGAAAATTGTAATTCATTTGAAATCACAGCATTTAAAATATTACTACTTCTAGTTTGCTTGTATTTGGGTTATAATCTACTGTTTTCTTAGTAAACACTTGGCAGAGTGTAGTCTAAAGGGTCTGAAAAAAGTATATAAATAAATAACTGAAAGAACGGTATATGATAAATGAGTGAAAATTTCAGGATGAGAGATGTGGCATTTAAGATAGGTTTTGGTGTGAAGTAACAACATCTAGGTGAAGGAAGCCACAGCATAGGAAAGACAATGAGAATATGCCAAGGATGTTAAGGGAATACATAGCTGTGTAGCTCAGCAGAAGAGTGGGATGATCCTTTGGCACATTGATCACACGAAGCTTTGTTCCCTCCGTGGTAGGCTTAGTTATTCAATTTCAGTGTGAAGGGTTAGAAATCTCATTCCTAGCTTGCTTAGTAGTAGATAAATGGTAAAGGAGAGATTTTTAAATCAGAACTAACCAGATTTTGATCTTTCCTTTACAACTAATTAGCTTTGGAATCTAGGTCAGATTTTCCTCTTACCTTCCACTTTCCTACATTGGAAAAAGGGATGATGACCACCAAATCTGTGACAGTAAAGTAAAAAAATACAAATAAAATGTCTGTTGGGGAGCATAATGTATAGTGAGTGTACACTATAAAAGTTCCCACAGCAATGTTTACATTTTGTTAGAGACTTATATATTAGGCTGAGCAGTTAAAACTTAATTAGGCCAGATAATGCAACTGAAGTTTTTTCTCATTAAATAGTAGAATGATCAAACCTGTGATTGAAAATAATTCTTCCTTCAAAGGATAAGGTGGGCTGGGGGGAAAGAATGGACTGGAGACAGATACCAGTGAAGGGCTATTGGTATTGTAATAGCTCTAGCTAGAAGAGGCAAAAGAGCATAGTAGCAAGTGGAATAGAAAGGAGCAGACATTTAGACTATTCAAAAGAAAGATATGTAGGACTTAGAAGCCGATAGTACCTAGAGGATGAAGAAGTAAGTGAAATTTAGACTTATCTCAGTAGTTTGGGTAATGTTGATCCTATTACATAGGCAGTGAGGTGGTGACTTCCAGCCCTCCATGCATTAAGCTTAAAGTATTCACATAACATCTGTATGTGATAGAAAGTTTCAGAAAATGTGGATTTGGGAAACACTTCCATAGAAGCAGGATGAAGTGGCACTACTAAGGGAGACAGGTATAAAGAGGTGTTCTGATCTTACTACCCAATTAAAAAAAAAAAAAAAGATTGTACTTAGTTTCACTGAAAATGAAACTATTTTGGCATTCTCATTCATATTTTCTCTCTCTCTCTCTCTCTCTCTCTCTCTCTTCCTCTCTTCCCCTCCCCCCTCCCCAGTGGAATGCTTATTTGATTATTTTAACAGTAGGACTTTGTTTTCTTTTATGGTTAAAACAATATAGGTGAAGAAACAGCCTCTCAGGTAAGGGGTTGAATGAACTTGGCCTTTTACCTTAAAAGAAGAAATTATTTTATTTTTGTGTTAAATAAAAGTAATGTTTAGTTTTGTACCAAAATGGCCAAGTGTAGAGTTTATTCTATTTTGCAAGTCAGAATTTATGAAAACTTAACAGAATAGTTTCTAAAAGAGCCTTAAAGAATGTAGTAACTGATAAAGTAGAGAACCATGCAGGTTTAGAACTGTTTTAAAAAGGGAAAAGCAAATATGACTTGAGTCTATAAAATGCAACATTTGTAATTCCCTAAATTCCAGATATCAGATCCCATGATTTCTCGCCCTTCCAGTTCACTTAAATGGCATTAACCATTATTTTTGTTAATTATTGATGTTTGGATTCAACATTTCCTTTTAGGTGTTTCAAAATCTTGAGTGCTAATGGTGAGGCAAAAGTATTCAGACCAAGGGATCGTGATGATATTGTAAAAACTGTGATTGAACCGATGGCATCAGAAGGCTTGAGAACCATATGTCTTGCATTCAGAGATTTTCCAGCAGGAGAACCAGAACCAGAGTGGGATAATGAAAATGATATTGTCACCGGCCTTACATGCATTGCTGTTGTGGGCATTGAAGATCCTGTGAGACCTGAGGTGGTGAAACATTCTGTGTTCTGCATGTGCAGAATCTTTTTAACTATAGAGACTCAAGGCACTAAGTGTAACCAGCTTTCTAGTAAAATTTGATGTTTATGATTTTATTTTTTCTATGTGAACCCAAGATGAGTGAAATAATAGTGCTTATGATGATATGATATCCTTTTTATGGTGTATAATTAGACAGCTTCTTTCTGGAATCCTGTGTATTTATAGCACCATAACCTAGCACAGTGCTTTGAACTGAGTAGGTTTTTCAATTGGCACTTGTGTTAAATTAATGATTGATGCCCTTAAGTGATTTGTTCTCACAATCTCTGAACCATCATTGTCCAGTAGAATTTTCTTTGATGATAGAAATATTTTATCTGTATGTTGTTCAGTGTAGTAGCTACTGACTACCTGTGATGATTGAGTTCTTGAAGTATAGCCAGCACAACTGAAAAACTGAATTTTTTATTGAAATTTAAACATCTGGATAGTGGCTTCTGTATTAGATGGCATGCATCTCTAGATTTTGCTTTTTTCCTTTAAGTCACTTAAAAGTTTATAGAACATAAACTAGGTTTATAAACCTAGGCATTAACAACATTAGAAGTTTAGAAATGTGATCCCTAGCCTCAAAGAAGTCACTGTCTTGAGTGAGAGCGGACAAACATGTTCTGACTGAGGCTGTTTGTACATGGCTGGGTACATACAGAGCCTGTTGTATGAGCAGAGAATGTGACCTCTCAACCTAGTCTATTGAGGTCTCCCTGTGTGCCTAGTACTATGGCAAGTGTTTTACATGTATTATTTCCTTTAGTGTTCACCTCTATGTGGTGTATTATTACTCTCATTGACAGATAAAACAGTTGGGATTTATAGAGCTCTAAATCATTGACATAGAATTTTCAAATCCCAACTTTGTCTAAAATATGTGCTTAAAAGAACACTAAACTCTGTTACCCACTGGAGGGGTTAGGTAAGACTTCCTAGAGGTTAATTACCTGATTGGAGTCTTAAAGGATCAGGAGACATTAGCTAAACCAAGAGAGAGCAGTTAAGTATATTCAGATAAATAAGCAACACAAGTAAAAGCACTAGTGCAAAACTGCTTTTGTTCAGTAACTGCCAACCAATTAATTCAAACCTTAATGTATAGTGGCAGGCACTGTTTTAGGAACTGTAAGTACTTCAGTGAACAAAGTAGTCATGAAATTTATATTCTGGAGAAAGAAGACAACCAAATAGGTAGAATGATTATATATGGACTGTATGCCAAGGGAGAGATTTAGGATTAAAAAAAAAAAAAAAAAAAGACAAAACAAAACTGAGAAATACCACTAAATACCTACTAGGCCTTACATTCTGGGTGGCATGCGGTGGGGAGAGCTGAGGGTAAGGGTGGAAATGTGATGTAAAATAAGATGATTACAAGTGTATTAAGGGCTATAAAGGATGCACACTGGGTGATGAAATAAGGTAACTGAGAGAGACTGCATTGAGAATTTGAGTTGAGATCTGATGGCTCACAATTAGCCAAGCAAATAAATAACTACAAGAGGAACATTCCAGACAAATAGCAGAAAATGCAGGGACCTGAAGGTGAGAAAAAGTATTGAGGGATTTTTAAAAAATAGAAAGGAGTGTGGCTGGCAGAGTGAAAAATGGGGAGATGAGATATCTTCAGCATTACTAGGATGTAAGTTCTGCGAATTTCATTCTAAAATTCAAGTTCAAGTTGGGAAGTAACATGACATATATTGTTAAAATACGGTATAAGAAAGAGATTATTGCACCTCTTTGAATTGTATTGTTGAATACTGTATAAGAAAGAGATTAAAGAGAAATAGAAGCAGAGGAAAGCCATTAAGATTATTGCAGTGATCCCAGACAATAAATGTTCATGACTTAGACTACAGTTGTGAAAAGATGATAATAGAGGGATGATTTCAAAGTAAATGGAGGTGGTCCAGTAGGAATGAATATACTGCATTTGTGTATGATGTTTTCAGTATCATTGAAGTATATGAAATATCCAAATGTGTATCAGGCAGGCATTTGGATGTCGGAGTCACAAAGAGGTCTAGGGTGGAATAATTATTTATAAGCTAAAAGGAATCTCCTGGGGAAAATGTGTAGCAGAAGAGAGGCCTTAATGCCTCACAACTAGAAGTCTTGATAGGGAAGAGGAGATAGGCTCTCTCTTGCAGTATTTGGTGGGTGGTAGAGGGTGTTACCAGTGTTATAAGAGAATCAGAAGACACAGCCTTTTGAGAGATCAAGATAAATTCAGCTTTAGGTTTTAGAGTTTCATTCAGCTGTATAATGTTTGGCAACTTTTGATCTCAGGAAAAACATATATAGTTTTATACATTGGCTTGTATTTAAATCTTAACCTAATATATATATTAAATCAGGACGTCTATAACTTTGGGAAAGCCTGTTATGCTCTTAGCATTTGGATTGATGGAAAATTTATTTATTTACTTACTTACTTATTTATTTATTTATTTATTTTTCTAGTTGTAGTTGGGCACGATACCTTTATTTTATTTATTTTTATGTGGTGCTGAGGATCGAACCCAGGGCCTCACACTTGCTAGGCGAACACTCGCTGAGCCACAACCCCAGCCCTATTGTTTTATTTTTTGAATATGTAAGAAACACTTTTTTTTTCTTTCAGTATCACAAAATAAGATGAGTACTTTTATATTAAAATATGACTAATATGAAACGGCTTTATTTGAGTGGTTATTCTAGGCTGTGCAGTTTTGGTGTAGAGGATCTTTAATTAGGTATCTAGAACAAATCCAGTGTTCTTGCATATGCAAAGGTACTTGAATAAGATACTTAGCCTTCCTTCAGTTCCTTATCTGTAAAAGTGGAGGTAGTGTCTGAATTTTTAAATTGGAAGTATTTGGTGATTAGTAGTCAGTAAATACTAGTTTGCTTTTGTTTCTTTAAACAGCTTTATTGAGATAAAATTCATATATTACACACTTCACCCATTTAAATTATATGTCCTAATGGTTCTTAGTATGCTCAGAGTTCTGCAGCCATCACTACAATCAGTTGTAGACATTTTCATTATCCAAAAATTACACTCTCTAATTGTCAGTAGCCATTCCCCATTTCTCTCCAACCTCAGGGAAACACTTTTATATTTTCTGGCTATGTAATTACCAATCTGGATACTTTAAACATGTTCATCTTATCTCACTATAATTATATTTTTAACCAAGATCTCCCTTTTGCTCTCTGCCGTAACTTCCCTAGCCCCTGGCAACCACTATTGTACTCTCTACCTTTCTTAAATACTATTTGCCACAAAGCTTAACCCAAGACTAGTGTGTCCCTCTTAATCATTGATACCTAGATACTTCCTAATCAGTGACTACTTAGATATGCAAATTTAAGATACATCTTACCTCCAATGAGATGTCAGGAGATCTTTTATATGCATTTATACAGCTAATGTGTTTTTGGTTTGTTTTTTACAGTACTGGGGATTGAACTTAGAGGTGCTCTTCTACTGAACCATAGTCCCAGTCCTTATAGTTTTTATTTTGAGACAGCATCTTACTAAGTTGCCCACAAACTCTTTCCTTAGCCTCTCACATAGCTAGGATTAAAGGTTGCACCATTGCATCTGGCTTGGTAACCTAATGTTTTTAAAATCCAATACTGATTTTAAAAGAGTTTGAGCAGCCTATTTCCTTTAATTCATTACTCCATCACTAGGACCTAGCACAGTGTCAGGCATACAGTAATATTAGTTTGTATGAATATATGTGATTTCCCTTCAGTGATTTGAATGATTGAGAATTGAGACAGAGTGGAAGGAATTTGGGGGTGGGGGGAGAGGTACCAGAGATTGAGTTCAGGAACTCTTGACCATTGAGTCACATCCCCAGCCCTATTTTGTATTTTATTTAGAGACAGGGTGTCACTGAGTTGCATAGCGCCTCACCATTGCTGGAGCTGGCTTTGAGCTCGTGATCCTAATATGTCAGCCTGAGGAACTGCTAGGGTTATAATCTTTAAGCTTATACATATTTAAGTTGCTAGTAATTAAATTGCATATGTTTTTTAAGACATTGTTCCTGTGGAACCCTGTCTAGAATTGTGCCCCCTTACCTTCCACCCCCACCTTGAAGAATGCCCCAGTGATGACTGTTTCTCCAACAATATGTAATTTAGTAGCTGCATGAATGTTAAGCTTTGGTTATATGCCATACACTTCTTTGTTAAATAAATGGACTAAATTGTGATGCAAAGATGTGGTAAGGATCCTCCTTCAAGAAGCTCATTGACTTGCAGAGGACTCGACAAATGAGTATCTATAATATGATGCAATGACTTATAACAAGTCTGTAATAAGAAGACACACTTTTGTCTAGGTATGTAGACCAAGGAAGCTCTCAGAGAAGTTACATTTAAACTGGATTTAGAATAGAAATCACAAATAGGGAGTCTGCAGACCTAATTTAGTATTCTGTCAAGTTATCTTTGGATATCTGTATGTGTATAAAAATCATTAAGTATTGAGAGATTATATACAAAATTAGAATGTGTCTCCTTTCTCTTGAAATCTTAAGTTCTGTTAATGTTGAGTTCTCATTTCACCATGGTAAAATAGACTAGAATTGAGTAGCTCTTTCATTAACATTTTTCTTGGGTTTGTCATTTTCAACATGTTTTCCTTGTCGATATTACCAGCATGGCCCTGTAGCTATTTGAATTTTTGCAATCTCAAGCCCTGGTAGGATCAGTATGGATTTTCCAGTTAGAGCCAGAAAGGATGTGGTTTATTTTCTGTACCAGGGATTCAAGGCACTTAAACACTGAGCCACATCCTCAGCCCTTTTTTTTTTTTTATTTTGATACCAGTCTCACTGAGTTGCTTAGGGCCTCGCTAAGTTCTGAAGCTGGCCTTGATCCTCCTGCCTCAGCTGGGATTACAGGTGTGTTCCACCATGCCCAGCCAGAAAGGATTTTCTAGGCAAAAGGAATGTAGTTGCACAGGCACAGAAATAATTTTATAAACTGTTCATCTAACAACTTGTGTATAATAGAGAAAATTTTAGATGGATCTAGAAAAATATTCTGAAGCTCAACTGTGATACTCAGTTGTACTAAGAATTTTGTGGTATATGTGTAGCAGCTGAGGAATCATGTATTTTTAAGGAAGCATATTGGTGTGTTAAAAAAAGAATAAAGTATATATGGAACAGCATAAAGGCAGTGATACCAATTTAAAAGCAATTGCAGTAACTCAGGCAGTAAGCACTGGGAACATGATACAAGGGAGGTTTGGGAAGAATCCATAGGAGTTATATTGATCCTTAAGGGATGCATGGAAGAGGAGGTACAGATGACTTAGGCTTCTGTAGGTAAGTTTAGAAAAGATGGTGTCTTTTTACACACTCAAATTCTGATACCCACTTTTCAGGTGACACCGTGATTCCCTCTCAAAGTGAGATGACGGAAGGATGTAGATTTGAAATTCTTTAGCACACAAATTATATGGGAGTAGGTGACATATTTCCTTAACAAATATGAATTGGGAAGGGAAAAACAAGATACTGTAAAGAACACCAACTCAGGTGTGATGTGGGCAGTGAAAAGCCAACCAGAAAGGAATAGTTTTTTGATTGTCAGGGGGAAAAGGTGCTTTTAAAAGCTTTTGGTAGATAAGTAGTGCAAACAAATTAGGAATGATGGCAATTGAAAATGAAGCCCAAACTAAGATTGCAGTTGTAGAATAGGAAAGAAGAGATTATTGGGAATAATTTAAGAAATACTGAATATCTCGAGATGAAATTAAAATTGTCATTAGTTGTGGGATTGTACACTACCTACTATATATTTGTTTAGTGTTCCCCCTACTTTGGAAATACTAATTTTCTATTGTAATGTGATTTTTTTTCCCTATATAAACTAGGTACCAGATGCAATTAAAAAATGTCAGAGGGCTGGAATTACTGTACGGATGGTCACTGGTGATAATATTAATACTGCTCGGGCTATTGCTACCAAATGTGGTATTTTACATCCTGGGGAAGATTTCCTATGCTTGGAAGGTAAAGATTTTAACCGAAGAATACGAAATGAAAAGGGAGAGGTAAGGATTTTTTTTTTTTAAGTTTTTTAGTTGATTAACTTGTATATTAAGAATTTCATTCAACAAATACATATTGACTATGAAGTATATATTAGGCACTGTACATGAATAAATGCTGTCCACATCTTAAGAAGCAAAAAACTAGCATTCTAGATGAAAGGGGTGATAAAGAAATTGGTCCTAGTGGGAATGAGCATATGTTGCTATTATGCTTTATCAAAGTATCAATATATGCAAGGGAGTAAAGGGAGATGGGTTTGGAAAGGCTGATGTGGACATATTTTAGGGGACTCCAAACTCAGAACTTTTCACATTAAGGAAGTTCCAGTTTTATAGACAGTGGGCAAAATTTAAAAATTTTGATCTTATATATAGTAAGAATTCTCAAACTTGAGTTTGTATCGATTGAAGTCACTACCGAGTATTTGATGAGATAAACCTGGGCCATGCCCAAGAATTTGCATTTCTAAGAAGTTCCTAGGAGTTTCTGATGCAATTGCTCTGTACTTTTGAGAACACTGATGAATAATGGTAGATAGCTAATTTAGAATTATGGAACTAGGTTTTAACTTTGATAAAATTTTATAGATTGAGCAAGAGCGAATAGACAAGATTTGGCCAAAGCTTCGAGTACTTGCAAGATCATCTCCTACTGACAAACATACTCTTGTTAAAGGTAAGTAGATTTTACAATTATTTCACAATTTCTTAATACAGAAATATGTTTTGCTTCCAAAAATAGTAATAGATAGGGAATATTAGATTGAGTCTCATATTTTCCAATAAAATTTAAATACATTTTCTTTTGATATCTTATGTGAATTGTGTTTATCTTCTGATTAAAACAGGATATTGCTCCTAATGTAACCTTAGTTTCTTGAGTTGATCCTTGTTCAACATCCCAGCAGTTTCCATTTCTGTGTTTGTTTAATTATGTATTTTTAACCTTGAGACTATAAAACTGACCAGTCAGGATAGTCAGGATATTCTGCCAAATCACCTTATTAATTAAAGAAAATGTTTTTATAGCACAAATATTTACTTTTATTTAAGGTATAATCGACAGCACTGTCTCAGAACAACGCCAAGTTGTAGCTGTAACTGGTGATGGTACAAATGATGGCCCAGCATTAAAGAAAGCAGATGTTGGATTTGCAATGGTAGGAATTAACTTATTCAAGTATTCAGATGTAATTTGCTAGCTGTGTTGTTTGCTTGTTTGTTGACTGTATTACTATTGATTCTAAATGCTGTCCCTCAAGATTAGTTTGAGGGATAATCGGTAAACCTAAATTGATTTGTAAGTCTAATTAGTTTATACACTAGCTTTATTTGATGCCATGAAATCTGGTTAGATGATTTCTTTGGACAACTGAAATAATGTCATAAATTTACCTTGTACTCTGTAAGTTGTCTTCTCTCATGTCATCTGAACCTTATATAGCAACCTTCTCAATCAGAACACAAGCTTAAAACAGATGTACATTTACATTAAAAATATACTTAAGGGTCTTTTAAATTTTAAAGAATAATAGAATGTTGTCTTTTTTACATATACATAAAATCTTTTTTGATTAAAAAAATTCTTGTTTCCCCCCATATCCTCAATTTAAGTATTTTTTCTTTAGTTTTGGAAAATACTGATTAATAATCACAATTCTCAAATCCAAAACTATAAGAAAACTGAATTTTTTTGCCCTAATTGGCTGCCTGGTCATTTTTCACATTTCATTTAAAAATTTTGTGTTTGACTTATAAAGTCTGTTCTGAATTGATGTAGGGCTATTATTTGTCCCATTAGCATGAATATATATAGCCATTGTAGAAATTTTAATGTGTTAATGTTGCTTAACTCTTTGGGAAATTTTGTGATATGAGATATGTGCCTTATTATCTAGCATATGGAACACTTTGAATTCTGAAACAAAATCTGGCCCTAAAGTTTTAGATGAGAGAATGTTTGTGTGCACCAGTATGTTTACATGATTTGTCCCTCTGATATTTTTTTTGCTAAAATAGAGATTTAGAAGAAGACTTACCACCCTGGCAGCCTTTCAACAGGTGTGAGAGAGATAGTAAAAGGAAATTATATTGGTAAATTTTCTTCAACCAAAAAAGATTGCATCCAGAGATCCTTACCCTGCCATGTCCCAAATTCATAGGCAGCTGCTTTGGAATGATCTTTTGAAGACTTGTGAAGAGTCACTGAAGAAGAAATAGTTAGGTGCTCTGCCTTGTACTCCAGGCAAACAGAATCACTAACTACAGCAGCTGGGCATTGAGCCATTGAGTAGTATTCTTATTGCTGCTTTTATCTGACAGTGACCAGAAAACTACGTAGGATACATTTTAAGAAAAAAAGAAAGAAAAAAGCTTTCTTTCCAAAACTTGAGTATGTGACAGATAGCCTGGGCTTTAATAAATGTGGATAAATACAGTAATGCAAACAAAAGTATAGCACAATGACTGGTCTGTTTGTGTTTTTAAGCTCTGAAGGTTTTAGATTCAAATTTACCACTTTTTTTAATGATAATTCATCAAAAGTCTAAATTTATCTCCAAAATAAAGAGGAAAGAGTAAGTGCTTAGCAGCTCAGACTTGAAACCACTCTTTCCTACTTAGAGAAATCCCTATTTTACCTCTTGACGTGTTTAATCTGGCATTGCAGAGGGAATGGCAAACTGCCTGTCACATGGATTTGGGAAAGGCCTCTGAGGATCAAACTGCCTTTTTAAAATTTTACTAACACCAATACAGAAAAGTGCCTAAATCATAAGAATACAACTGAACACAAGTGAACATACCTGTTCTATATAGGCAAGAAATAGAACAGTACCTATATCCCAGACACTCCAGTCAACTCTATCTCTCTGCAAAGATAACCAGTGTCCTTAAGATCATTATTTTTGCCTGTTTTTGAATGTTGTACAGAATGATCGGAGTTCATCATCTTTTATTTAGCACTTTGTCTCTAGAATTTACGTATTTAGCTGTAGTTCATTTTTATTAATATGCAGTATATTAACATATCCCTTTCTGCTGTTGACAACGTTGTTACTATTAGAAGTTGAGTGTTTCTTCAGTAGATATTTAAAGAGATTCTCTATTTTCATTCCTGCCTTTACCCCTACAAGTGCAACCTGGTACTTCCTGAGCCTGATAGAAAGATTTCATACTATCAGAAACAGGACTGCTTTTCTGCTGTCCCTACCATTGGCTTCAGATTCAGCTTTTTTTAGTCTGCTGAGTTATTTACCATTTGTTTATCCATTTTCAGTCTGTAAGGTGTTTTTTTAAACATTTTATTAGTTGCTGATGAACCTTTATTTTCTTTATTTATATTTGGTGCTGAGAATCAAACCCAGTGCCTCACACATACTAGACAGGCACTGTACCACTGAGCCACAACTCCAGCCCTCCAGTCTGTAAGAGTTTTTTTGGCAAAATCTTGTATCCCTCTAATTTTGTCTTCATTGGTTATTATTTTTTTTAATATACTTTTTCATTCAGTCTTTGGAAGGAACTTGGGTTCCTTTGGAAGGAACTTGGGTACTGCCTTTGTTCATTCTTCTGTTTTTAACCTTACTTTGAATTTTATTTTCCATACTTCCCTCTTTGTTTGATTTCTGCTAAGCCAGACATCTATAATACCTTCTTCTAGCCTGACTCTTAAGTCACTGTTAAGTATAATGGCAAATTTTTATTTATTTTATACTACTCATTTGAGTATATAAGAATTATATTCTAAATAATTAATCTAATTAACAGATTTTTTTTTCTTAAACAGGGTATTGCTGGAACTGACGTAGCTAAAGAAGCATCTGATATTATTCTCACAGATGACAACTTTACAAGCATTGTTAAGGCAGTTATGTGGGGACGAAATGTCTATGACAGCATCTCAAAATTCCTTCAGTTCCAACTTACTGTAAATGTAGTAGCAGTCATTGTTGCTTTCACGGGAGCTTGTATTACTCAAGTAGGTGATGATTTATTTATTATAACTTGCTTATTTTAAAGCAAAAAACTTTTTTTAAAGTATTTAAGTATTTAAATAAGCTGAAACTTAATATTTAGGTTAATTATCATAAAAAATGTGATCCTATTCTGTTCCTTAAGTTTTTAAATCCTAAAGGCTTCCTGAGAATTTCTGAGTCCCTAAACAGTTGTGAATGTCTATTAGGAAACATATCTTTTCTAGGATTCACCGCTTAAGGCTGTGCAGATGCTGTGGGTAAACCTCATAATGGATACACTTGCTTCCTTGGCTCTGGCAACGGAACCACCCACTGAATCCCTCTTGCTTCGGAAACCTTATGGTAGAAATAAGCCTCTCATCTCACGCACAATGATGAAGAATATTTTGGGTCATGCATTCTACCAACTTGTAGTAGTTTTTACACTCTTATTTGCTGGTAAGGATTCAGTGTCTTAATTAAGCTTCAGTTAATTTTTTCGAATCCATGTTAATAACATTCAACATGTTTTAGTGTTAAAAATTTTTTTGAGTTTGAGTTCTGTTCCTGACTCCCTATTTATTTTTAATTTCTCAGCAGGGAGTGCTTGGTAAATTTGGGGAGGTAGTGTGATGCCGGGTAGGGAGGGACAAAGAATCTTCATCATTATTATCCTGGCTTTGCCACTTATGTGTCTGAACTTGGCATGTCAGCATAGTTTGGGGGCTTCAGTGTCCTCATCTATGAAACAGAATAGTTGTCATTCCAGGTCAAATAAAGAGTCTGGCTAATTTGTATTATTGCATAATTCCTTGACATGTTATGATTTTGTATGGTAATTACAAAAAAATTTTTCATTCTTTCAGGAGAAAAGTTTTTTGATATTGATAGTGGAAGAAATGCTCCTTTGCATGCTCCACCTTCGGAACATTATACTATTGTTTTTAATACCTTTGTGCTGATGCAACTTTTCAATGAAATAAATGCCCGGAAAATTCATGGTGAAAGAAATGTGTTTGAAGGAATCTTTAATAATGCCATCTTCTGCACAATTGTTTTAGGCACTTTTGTGGTACAGGTGGGTAATTAGAAAAGATGGTTTCAAAACTGATTATTACATGGGAGATAGTCAGCAAACAGGTACCTTGTTGTAGAACATAATTTCAGATGTGTGTGTGGTTCTTCTATATATTGCCTTGATGATGCCTGTAGTTTTCGTGTTTATCTAAGATGTACAATAAAATGTGGAAACTTGGTCCCTTGTTCTTAGAAGTCAGAGTCACAACTGACTAGATACATTATTGTCTTGGTTTACAAAAGAAAATTATTTCAGTTTTATCTCTGAAAATCTAGACTTTACTGTCAAAATCCTTATAATCTTATTGAGTGGACTACTAACAAAACTTGGGACACTATCTGTGTAAGTGTTCAAATAATCTTGACTTTAAAATATGGTGGAATTAACAGAATGGAATTTTACTATTTTCAAGAAATTTTCAATGTTAACTACTGTTATCTACTGAAATTTTCTTTTTAATTTCAATATTTGACATCTGCTTAATTGCCAAGGAAAAGCTTGTCAAACTCACAGAAGAGCGAATATTTTGTTACTTGATCTTTAATATTCCCGTATACATTACTTTAGGACATTTAGAATAAGAAGAGAAGAATTATGAATTTTATTTATGTGTATTTACGGACTTTACTTTGAAAGGAGAGTAGATGTCTAAGAGTATACCACTTTGGTTGGCCCATGTTTCATACAACTTTACAAGTTGCTTTTCTTCCCTACAGTCCATTTATATTTATTCTAACATCTAAATGTTAGTTAACCAGAAATGAAACAGCTCTATAGAAGGAAAAATGGAGTTGCATATTTTGTCAGCATTTCTGTAGTACTTTTTCACAAAAATATTTACCATCTTTTGTAAAAGGCATAAATTATTCAAAGAAGTGGATAAAATACAAGGAAATGTTGTTACTTGTTGTTATATTAGAAACATTATAAAGTTATACTTCTTAACCATAAAATTTTTTTTTTAATTTTTAGAAGTGTGATTTAAGCGTGAAAAATGCATGCATTTGAAATTTGGGCAGAGGTTTTTATTTTAGTTGTTTTATTTACAGATGTGACTAATATAATAATGGTTGTTCACCTTGTGTTTTAGAGGATATAAAGTTGTTTTTTTTTAAGAATGTGGATTTTAAAATTTAAAAGATTTAAATAAACTTAACTCTTGATTATTCCTTCAGATAATAATTGTGCAGTTTGGTGGAAAACCTTTCAGTTGTTCAGAACTTTCAGTAGAACAGTGGCTATGGTCAATATTCCTAGGAATGGGGACATTACTCTGGGGCCAGGTAAAAATTTCATTTTTCGTTAAAACTGAATTTTTTTTTTAATTTTTACTGTATATTTTCTTTGATCAGTTTTGCTAATTGTTCTAAATAGTGACCATTTGGGTCAAAAAAAAAAAGGAATTCTGAGGAGAAAAAAAGAAAAGGAACTTAGGGGTTTTTGTTTTGTTTTGTTTTACATAGTATTTGTTCCAGTACAAATGTTTATTATGCCTATTGTTTATTATGTTTATTTTTAGCTTCTTTAGAACAAGTTTTTCAGTAGTTATTAAAGATAATGTATTTATAACTGGTTAGGATGCTTCTATCTGTATCTTTTACTCTATCACCTATTTTTACATTTTCAGGTTAAAATTTTTACACAAATATGAAAATAAAATATACTTACTTCATTATTTTTGCTGTGTAATTTATTCTAGGATGTGACATTGGAAAACTTGGGGTTTAATTTAGAGAACATTTCCATAAAAATTATGGTATCTGGACAGCAAGGCTACAAAATGTCATTTTAGAGTATTTGAATTGAATAATTTTAATAGTATATTTATAAAATACTAATTCTTGAAAAATAAGATAAACCTCATCTTTATTATTTTTAACTTCCTTGCAAATGCATGTCATTATTTTTAAAGATGAGTAGTAATACTCTGTAATTGTCCACTGTAACCCATTATCATTAGTATAAAACTAGCTGATAGAGAGTCTATACTATCATTTTCATAAATTCAGGTTAGTAAATTATGATATATAACTTATATAAAGCTCATTTTATTGTCATTATGTAAGTCAAACCAAACTTTCAGGTTTTCCTTAAACTTTGCTCAGTCTTGTATCTTTTATCTAATCTTGCTCTTGTGTTTTAGATTTTGAGTTTTTTTATACATTTTGAAGACCTCATTATTAGAGATCTTCTTTTAAATGGGATCCCTGCTTGTTCCACATTTCTTTCTTGATTTACCATTCTAATTATTTCATAGTATTCTCTGCTAGGCAGAATAAAACCCCACAACTTCCAAAGTTCTGGCCAAATTCAGGAAGTGGAAATGCAATACAGCATACATACCCAGCAGGATTAAAATGATCTTGTCTGTTGATTTTGAGTGTGTGATGGTAGAAAGAACACTGGTTTTGGTGGCCAGGAGACCTGGAGTCTTAGCATTCCATAAACAAGTTACTTCAAGTATCTTTGAGCCTGTTTCACCTCAGTAAAATGAGTTGGTTCTGTATGACTCAATGCTTATTTCTCTCTGATAAACTTTCACTAGGAATGGTTCTTTACACTTACAAGCTAATACATACTCGGTGTTTTTATATCCTTTATGTTTTCTTAGGCATCTGTTTCTATTTGGTGTCATTATAGTGTTAACTTCATTATCAGTGTTAATTTATTTTAAATAGTTGCATTTTACATAAAAATAAATACACGTATTAAAACTGTTTTTAGTATAACTGATGACTTTCTAATTTCTAATGTTTTTTTCATGAATTTTTATAGCGCTCATGAAACATAAAAGCTTGTTTTACATCCAGTAAGACCACCTGCATTTTCCTTTTATTTGGAGTGAATATAGTTAATAGGAATTTAAGTAAACATATGTATATTAGAGCATGATTATATAATATACTGTTGTAAATATTCAAGTCAATGTATAAAAAATGTAATCAGGTGAATTCCTATTCAGGAAAACTTTTGTGCTTCAAACTTTTGTGTAACTAAAAGAAGACTATTCTTTGTTCTGGGAGAGAAAGTCTGATCAACAGGATCTCATTGCTTCCTTGGTGAAGATAGGTGGTTACTCTTGCAGTTTTTATAACCTTTTGTATAAAGTTGCTCATTTTAACTGTACTCAATATGATATATTTCTAAGTTCTTTCCCCTGTGTTGTAGCTTATTTCAACAATTCCAACTAGTCGTTTAAAATTCCTAAAAGAAGCTGGTCATGGAACACAAAAGGAAGAAATACCTGAGGAGGAATTAGCAGAGGATGTTGAAGAGATTGATCACGCTGAAAGGGAGTTGCGGCGTGGCCAGATCTTGTGGTTTAGAGGTCTGAACAGAATCCAAACACAGGTATGGGCCTGGTAGAGAGGTAGGAGAGATGATGGGAGAAGGGCTTTCTGACCTGGGGAGGAGGTTCACGTGTGTTCCTAAACTTTCTTTCTAGCCTTCCCAACCAACAAAATTTATTCTTTTGAAAAAAATACTACTAGTGGCTGGAATGAATGAAACTTTTAACTGATTATGAAAGAATGTGTCTTATATGCCCCTAAGCTCCTTTTTTCCTAGCTTTTTTTTTTTTTTACCACCCCCTTCATCTCAAAATGCTATTCTTGCCTATTTGCTCTGTAAAAAGTGCCTTTTTCTTTACTTTTTTATATGTTGATAGATGGAATGGTCCTTTCTCTTGTTCTCTCTCTCTCTTGCTGAGCAAGCTGTCACAATCTCTGATTCCTTGCAGATGGATGTAGTGAATGCTTTCCAGAGTGGAAGTTCCATTCAGGGGGCTCTAAGGCGGCAACCCTCCATCGCCAGCCAGCATCATGATGTAACAAATATTTCTACCCCTACACATGTAGTGTTTTCCTCTTCTACTGCTTCTACTACTGTGGGGTGTGAGTGTGTGTTCCTAAGTGCATGAAATTAACATTTCCTACTTCACACACCTAACGTTTCTCATTTTCTCCTTAATGTTTAAATTCATTGTTCAGGCTTTTCATAAAGCTTTCTTTTCGTAAAGTGGATTGAGACCTCAAAGTGTTGTCGTTGTTGTTGTTTTATTTCTTAGAGGGCTAGATAACAGGTGGAACAATTGCAACCAAAGATTAGCTATGAATTCTGTGAGCTTGTCTCTATGCTAACTCTTACAGTTAATATGGGGAATAAAATTATAGCTTAGAATTTGTGAAACTACTATAAATTTTTGAGTATATGCCTTTAAACGTGTTCATATGCATGGTTCCCAGAAGCATGTTATTTGAAACTGAGCTAACAGAACCAGGAAATTGCATTTGTAAAAATAAAATATGTATTTAGTATTTCAGCTTTATCTTGTCCAGTTTGGAAAGTAAATTAGAAGCCTTAGAAAAGTTTATATAAAAAATATATATATAGTCAATTGTTTGTCTTCTTAATTTGAACTTTGTCTATCTTACTTTGTGTTTTTTAAGAGAGTACCTATATAAACTTTTATGATATTTATGGTTAGTTTGGGGGTTTTTCCCATTTACATAATCAATTTAGTTTGACATCAAAGGTGAGAAATTTTATTGTTTTCTAAGTAGGAAAAATATATTGATTGATTATTGAACCAATATTTCAATAATATAACAATATATTCATGTTATAATGTCACTAATTGAATAACATATTTTCTATTAGGTTTTTAGTAAATGGCAAACTCCCTTTTAACCTTATATGACCCTATTGTAAATTGGGGTCTTCTGATTTCACAGTTATTTTCAGTATATTGGAGGCAATAAAAATATATACCAAATTCCACTCCTACAATTGCCAGAATTCTTAGGGTTAGACTTATATTTTGGGCAGAGACCTACCTTTTTCGTTTGGTCTCCAGCCAGAGAAGAACTAGAGGAGTCTTGGGTGAGCTGGACATAGAGTGAATCTAGGGAGAAAGCAGCACAGACTGTTTACCTATTGCCTATTAGCTAAAGTAATTTTTATTTGATATTTTTAACAATGTTATAGAACAGATAGAACCAGAACTGTCCCCATTTTACAGGTGTGAACACTAACTTAGAGATTAGATGACTTGCTTATAACTATAAACATGGTGTAAAACAAAAAGCAGGCAAGTTCCCTAAAAATAAACTGACCTTGTAACATTAGGATGTAACATTTACATGGACAGATAGGAGTCTTCCTTTTAAAAATTACCTACCTGAATGAAATGGCAAATGTAAATTGTCTGGCATTACACTTGTACATTGTCAGTCAGATGTAGAATTCATACTATCTTTGGCTTCTCATGATGCAGCCCTAGATGGTAAATGCCTCACAAACCTCTGTGGAAGACCTACCATATGTCAGGGCTATTTTAAAACCTCCAGAATGTGCAGTCTACTGAGAGAACAAGCAAGAAGTTGAAAGTTCCAACATGGCAATGACCTACAGAATATTATAGCAGGATCCTTAATCTACCCTGGGAAATCAGAAAGAATTACCTGAAGAAAATGACTCCCAAGTTGCTCCTTGGTAAATTTTGCTAATTGAGAAAAGCAGGCCTCTGTGGCAATAGTTTAGTAATAAAAAAAAAATGATAAACTATAGAAAATTGATGAAGCTGAAGTCGAATATGAACATCTGTTTGTGTATCACAAGAAGCAGCAAACTAAGGCTGTACTGAAAGACCTCCTTTCCCCAAAATCTTAAATTTGAAAAATTTTAAAGTTGAAAGATTAATACATGAGTACATCTCACCTGAATTTACCACATCTTAATATGACATTTACCTTGTCTATATATTAATAATCTCTTTAGACCACTTGAAAATGGCATATTTGACATTTCATCCCTAAATACTTTAGCATATACCTCTTAAGAAGTCTTGCAAACAATAATACTATATTCAGGAAATTTAACACTGATTCCTATTACCAAATATATAGTCTATATTTAGATTTTTTCAGTTTCTGCCAAAGTGTCCTTTATAGCTGTTTTGATGTATGATCCAATAAAGGATCATCAACAACAATTTGTTATTACTCTTTAGTCTCTAGCCTGGATCTATTCCCTGCCTTTGTTTTTCATGATATGGTTATTTTTGAAGAATCAAGGCCATTCATAAATGTGATTTATTTCCTACTGATTAGCTGCATGTTAAATTTTTTGACAAGTTTATCTCATGGGTGTTGGGTATTCATTGTTATTTCAGCAATATTTTGCTGAATTATTTTTAATTTATTTTCTAGTTTGGAAGGGTGTCACATGATCATAAGTATACTATAGTGACTATAGTTCTCAATCTGATTGTGTTCCAGGCTTTATGTTAAATATCAGATCAGTTACAAACTCTGTTTTAAGACACACATGCACACATCTGCCCCAGGCTGTTTTCTGATGCACAGTTGTATTTGAAACATCTGAGTTGTTGGACCCATCTGGTGTTATATTTTAGGGAAGTAGAAATACACTTCAGAAAGTGGCAAAAGGAGGCTTGTGGCTGTTACTTCACAAGTTTTGATATGTTTACTTCTTTATTCTATATCCTGTGTTCTCAGGACATGAGGAAGTACTCAGTGACTAGATCATATCCTACCAGTAATTATCATTATATAATATTGCAGTAATTATATTGCTGTTCTTTTAAATTTCTTTGAAGCTTTGCCTGAGAAGCATAGTCTTTGGTGGTATAGGATACCAGCCAATATATATAAAATTAATAAAGAGTATTAGTATGTTTAATGAAAGGTTTCATTTTCACTGTGCTTTTGACCTAATATTGAATAATCTTAGAAATATCTACAAACATCAATTTTTTTTTTACTCTTATTTGTAGCCCTTTCTTTGCTAAATAGAAGAAATGGTAATCCATTTTAGCTTTGTCAAATATTAGACTTGAAACATCTTCACAGAGATCATCTTTTCTTCCCCCTCATTTATTAGCAAGATCATTATAAGATCTCTAAAGAAAAAATTATGTAGTTTTTCTTTATTTGTAAATTATAACATTCTAATATCCTTTTTCCCATTACTGAATCCTTCTTGCTAAATCTATAACTTATCTTCCTGGAAGGGAGAAATTGAGGAGAAAAAAAAATTGTACTTCTAAGCAAAGGGTCAGCCAACTACATCCTGTGGGTTAAATTTGTCCTGTCTCCTGGTTTTTTTTTTTTTGGGGGGGGGTGATAAATAACTAAATATATATTTTAATATATATATATATTTTTTTTTTCTAAACATAGCCATGCCCTTTCCTTTAAAAGTATACCTTATGGCAGTTTTGCACTGTAAGAGCAAAATTGAGTAATTAACAACAGAGACTTTGTAGCTTAAAAAAAAAGATTCCACCCCTGTTCTGATAATTAAAATATCAGTTAGTAGAGATGAGTCTTCCTTTGAGAAAATTCAACATGTAAATTATTCAACTCTGGAAAACAGCCTAAAATTTTCTTTTTTATTGCCCCTCCCCCCAAAAAACCCTTATTTTATCATTGCAGTTTTTAAGTTAGTGCATATAGTAAAAATAATGATGAATACAGATTTCAGAAGTGACCATGCTGTTATAAAAAATAAGACATATTGGTTTATAATGAAATAGTTCTGTATTTTAGAGTTGTCTCCTTATATGCCATGTTTTGGGCAACAGTATTATTAACCTTATCTGCTATCAAAAGTTAGGAGGGGCTGGGGTTGTGGCTCAGTATTAGAGCACTTGCATTGTACATGCGAGGTACTTAGCACCACATAAAAAGAAATAAATAAAGGTTTTATGTCCATCTGCAACTAAAAAAATATACTTAAAAAAAGAGTTAGGAGGATATTTAGGAAAATGGTTTTTTAGAGTACCTGATTTTGATTTGTTAATTAAATTTTGATTTGTTAATTGTTTATCTTGAAAATCAATTTTAATTTCTTAAAGTGAAATTACTTAATGATTATAATAATCACCTTAGTTTTTTTTTTTAATCATGTACTTCATGCGGTATTTTCTTCAGTTTTTTTTTTCCTATTAAAATTTTCCTGGACATAGGTGTTATTGAAATTTTTAATTTTGATAATCTTAGGGGGTATAATTATGTTGTGCATAGTAGGTCTCAATAGATACCAAATGGGAAATGAATTAAAGGCAGTAAATAGCGAGGAATTAGATGTCAAGAATGGGAAATTAACAGTTATATCTTGGGTTTCCACTTAAACTGGATTCTTTATGGTATTAAGAAGATAATAAAGTTTAGGGCAATTATAAGTTTAGCTCAGTATGTTAGTTTACTATCTATAACAAAATACCTGAGATAATTTATCAAAAAAGAAAAGGTTTATTTTGTTCCATAGCTTTTGAGATATGATCAAGTGGCCATGTTGCTTTGGAGTGTAGCAAGGCAGCATATCATGGCAAGAAGGAAATGGTGGTTCAAAACTGTTTATGGATCATGAGCCAGAGAGCAAGAAAGAAAGGGCCAGAATTCCATGATCCCTTGAGGGCACGCCCCCAGTGAACTAAGGACCTTCTACAGGGCCCCACCCTTCAAAGGTTCCAACACCGCCCCATGGCACCATCATAGGGACCAAACCTTTAATACATGAGTCTTTGGGGACATTTAAAATCTGAACCAGAGTGCTCAGGGTTAAGCCTTAGATCAGGGGTGTTTTATTCATATATTTTATAATCTAGATTTTGTTGTATGTATTTCCTGTGAGACTGTCCTTCGAGATTTGTTCTTTGGTTTTGGGTTTTGGTTTTTTGGTTTTTTTTTTTTTTTTTTGGAACACTGGTGAGCTGTTCTTCTACTGGTTACTAACCACAGTTCTGTGCCTTACGTAAAGTAGAAGAAAGAAGGAAGCATTAACTTTAATCTTATCAAATTTTTTTTTCCTAGTTAGTGATAAAGTGAATGTCTTCTGTTTTGTCTTTTATTGACTTCCAAGGATTCTGGAATTGGGAGTTCAGAAGCCTAGGTTCTAAGAATCTCTGGCACTAAGAGTGACTTGACTTGACAAGTTGCTCAGTTTTATTATATTTATAAAGTGGTTAGAATAAAATATCTCTAATATCTTTTCAGTAATTTCTTTCTGAGTGAGTAAGAAAAATTTACCAAGCTTGGGTAAAAAGGACTTCGCTGATTTCACCTGCTACAGATACGTGTGTGATCGTGTGTGTATATATACATCTGCTATCCTCACCCGCAGGCTATATACTCTGCCCCTCTTAGAGCTTTGGGAACTCACAGACATCTGTCTTACTCCCATACCTTTCTTATGAGCTCTATTTTCCAAATTGAATATATTCAAAAAATCAATCTATTTCCTCTTTGACCCTTCACTGTTTGTTTTTATACCTATTTTGATTTAAAAGTAAACAAAAAAATTCACAGAAAACTATGACACCATTAACAGCAGTACCAGCAACCTAGTCCAGATTGCAAAGATATCCTAGTCCCCTTGAACAGTTCTAGCCACCCATCAAATTTGCTGGCTGATCCTCCAGTTTCTATTCTTTCTTGTGCCTGCTGGCTTTGACACCAACCGATTTTTCTTCTGAAGCTGTCTCTTTGCTTTTTAAACTTTATGATTTAGTACTGGAACAGTCAGGATATTTGTTGAATGTTTGCATGTATTAAAATGTAAATTGCAAGAGTGCACAATTAACATTAAGTAAATGGTTATGACAGTATATTTAGCAAGCATTGTCTTATTCCTTATGTTAAACTTTACATTTTAGTAAAAAGTAAAGGGAACAGAGCAATAAATTGACAATGTATTTGTTATTATTAGTCTGTCGAATTAAGGAACTAATTTATAAATATGAATGGACTAGAATTATAATATGTAATAAAATAACAAGATAATATATACTAAATACTTGCTGCTTCATGTGTAAATCATGGTTCAGCAGCACCAGCATCACCCAGAAGGTTGTTAGAAATGCAGGATCTCAAGTCCCTGCTGTATCCAAATCTGCATTTTAACAAGATCCCTAGCTAGCTCATAGCACTGGGTTGATACCTACATGCTAACACTCTTCTAAGTCTATAGTATACTAACTTAATCTCCTGTAACAACTCCATAAGGTATGGGTACCATTGTTATTTCCCATTTTATAGTGGAGAAAACCCATTTGATTAGTGTTCCTCAACTAGTAACTGACAGAGCTGTAACCTGTTTAGCAAAAAAGATAGATTTTAGGAGAGAAAAGTAATAATTGGAAATGAACACATGGCCCTAAACTAGACATATTTTAATATATATTCAGATGTCCATTTGAAGAATTTTATTAATTTATTCATTATCATTGTCTTATGATTTTGGTGATCGTATCTTATGGCACCATAAGTGATAGTTACCTCCTTTAGCATTATTAATAGATGATGTTTTCATTATTAAATGCTTCATTATAATTGAAACCAAAACAATGTATTTAAATTGATGTATAATAGATTTTATCTTTTTTCCCTAAATATGCATGACACTGGGTTAATGAGACCTGATGTCCACACTGGGGTAATATTTTTTAGTTTAATTGACCATTAGCCTCTTTTCCTTTATATAACAGAATTTTAATCTAAACAGAAAGACAACTGTTTGACTTTATGTTTTAGAGTAAAAGTATTAGAAAACTTTGAAACTTTATGTATTCTCTTTGGGATATTTTTCACAGACTTCCATTGGATTTTTAAATTTTCATTTTGAAAATCTATTCCTTCTGGAGAATATAGTGATTAAGTTGTAATCTATGATAGAGAAAATCCCTTAACACTTTGTAAAAAAAAAATGGCATATACTCAAATATTTATAGCTGTTTAATGGCATTTTGTAGATATTTACTTGGGTTTTGTCTGTATTTTTATTTTGTGATTCAGGGAATGGCGGGTAGATGTGAGTTCATGTGGCATTCAGCTTCTATTTGCTTGGCTTTTCATAGTCGGTGACACCCTGATTCCTAGCATGACAAATAGTAACCCTTTGTGCTTGATTTTAACTTATTTGAATTGTTTTCAAATATACATTATTTTTAGTTTTTAAAAAGTCGGCTAAGCTTGTGTATGGTTAAGTTTTGTTTTGTTTGTTTTTGTTTGTTTTCTTAGGGAAAAAATCCTATAAAATGGCTATTAAATTTTTAGCCAGTGACAATGAGATTTTCTTAGTATTACTTTGAATCTATACTTCTTAAATTTGTAGAGTATGTGGTTTTGTTGTTCTGTAGTGTCCTACTAAAATATTCATTTTTTTTACAGTGTATTGCAAGTTCCACTGCATTACATGCAAATATGATTCACTCATACCTAGCTGTTTGTGGATTCAAACTCATAAATGAACCAATTTAAGTTAAGTTGATTATATACTGACATTTTTCTGTGTTTTCTGATATTTACAGATTCGAGTGGTGAATGCATTTCGTAGTTCTTTATATGAAGGGTTAGAAAAACCAGAATCAAGAAGTTCGATTCACAACTTTATGACACATCCTGAGTTTAGGATAGAAGATTCAGAGCCTCATATACCCCTTATTGATGACACTGATGCTGAAGATGATGCTCCTACAAAACGTAACTCCAGCCCTCCACCCTCTCCCAACAAAAATAACAATGCTGTTGACAGCGGAATTCACCTTACAATAGAAATGAACAAGTCTGCTACCTCTTCATCCCCAGGAAGCCCACTACATAGTTTGGAAACATCACTCTGATTGTAAGCTGAATGTTAACACACTAGCTGCATTGTAAAGAAACAAATTGAAACTGGGTCTTTTCACATATTGTGACGGACAAGATAGTATTCTTGTCTTTGGACTTCAACAGAAGACACACTTGTACGAATGTAGATTTATTTTTTTAAAAAAAAAAAAAAGCAAAGCTTTCTGCCAGACTGAGGGTGCTTTTTGGGGGGTGGGAGAAATGAACTGACAGATAAACAGTAACTCAGTATAAGTGACCCGTGGATCATCAGTAGTACCCAAGAATGGTCCTGAACAGTGTATTAGCAGAACTTTAGTTTATCTTAGTCCTTGATGGGAGAGAGGGAGGAGTAAAGCTGGGCCAGACGAAGAGCCCTGGATCATTGAATTGATACTTTAATTTCTGCTGTTGGCTGTTAATAATTTGGATTATTTATGTTTATAAATGATACAGATCTGTTTACAAGGTTTGTAGATACTTTTTTTGTTCCTGTTCATAGATGGGAAGCTTCATTATAACTGATGCAGAGAAAAATTAGTCCTTCAAATACTGCTGTATTTTCAGGAAAAAAAAGGGGGGGGGTGTTTCTATTGAAACTGTACTAAATTTTTGCCTACAATTTACCTTGTTAAATATTGTAGATAAATTGCTAATACTAATAGCCAAATAGATAACACTAATGCTTTGTTTAAAAAAAACCAAAACAAAAAAAAAACAAAACAAACAAAAAAAAAAAACATGAGCAGTGGTGTTCTAATGAAGTTATGGCATCTGTCCTAATTAGTTTCTTAAATACATTTACTACTTAATGGTTTTGAAACAACTGTTTAATTTTTAAAATTTTTGAAAACTTGCTAATAACCTTTTGTTCAGAATTTAGTAGATTGTTTAATGCAGGACATCAACTACACAATGAAAGAGTGCTTGAAATGCTTTTGTTATTTCAGGCAAATCAGATTAAATCAAACTATCAAACTACAAGAGAACCTTAGTCCTTTTTGTTTTTGTCTAAATATGTTAGTTCAGTGATGTCTTGGTGAACTGTGAGTGAACTGTATTGATTTTTCTAATAAATTCTTAGAGACCTTCATACAGCATGAGGGCTGTTGGCATTTTGAAAAAGGTTAATAAGTAGAAGCATACATGTTTTTCTTTTGTTTTTGAAACTTGTTTGTAAGCATAAATAAATATGCCCTTTTATTAAATAAATACACAACAATGTTTTTGACATTTCAGCTTTCTTCCTCAGTTCTACATATATGTCTGTCCTGTTAAGCCACAATTGGAATAAATTTGAAGATGGTGGCAATCTAATAGAATCAGATTAAGTGAATGATCACAATCTTGCCATTTAACATATTTTTCATAGAACTTAGTTGGTCTAAAATAGTCTCATAGTTTAAAAAAAATAATGATTACCATTGTCTTTTATACAATTATTTTAATTCTTAAGTGGCCAAATAACAAATGGTAAAATGAGATTATAATAATTAACCATATGCAGGAATGCCCATCTCTAAGCCAATTGGATTCCTTAGCTATTTTCTTCCTGTCTGCCTTCTTCCCTTGTTTGCCTCTTGTCTTTACCCTGTATAAACTGGCATCGTGTTAGGGCCTAGCTTTCACCAGATATATAATCCTCAGGCTGTTGTGAAGTTTACGAGGACTACTCCATCTGAGAGTGCTGACCCCGCAAAGAAATTTAGTTGATGGTGCTTGATATTTTTGGTGGGTGGGGGAAATCCTTTTCTCTCCATCAGTTTTTTGCAGTAATCCTCTGCAAGTCTTAGAAACACATTGGCTCTGTCAGCATTTGTCATTGTACATTTATTCATCAGGTATTTATAGTGATTCATACTGTAAAAAGAGAGGCATGATATGCTGGGAAGCATATTTAGACTAGGAGTCAAGACCTGGTTTCTAGTCTTGGTTTTGCCATTAATGTGCTGCATGATCTTGGGAAAATCATTTACCCTACATGAGGGTGGTAGATTAGACTCTACCTTGAAGAACCCTTTCAACTCTAAACATTGACCCTATCAACTGGAGAAGCCTACGTACAAGGCATAGGGAATAGAGAAAAGGGAAATGTTTTCAGTTTTCTTTTTTATTTTGGTTATGCTTAAATATGAATGTAATTACCAAAAGATTTAGAAGTGCATGTGCTTTGGAGGATTTGTATTGAGCTTTTACAGTATTCATTTTTCAACTAAAGGCAATGGCTTTTTACACCGACTCTAATCCATAAATGGGTCTTAAGACATCCATGAAGTAGTAGCAAGACATGCTTAATGTGTATTTCTCTTTGAGACACTGTAATTTCTACCAGAAATTTCCAGAGCATTATGTAAGTAGAAAAAAAAAATGCAAGCAAGCTGTTAAAGATCTTGGATCCCATTATATAGTATGTATAGCTGAAATCAGCATCTGTAATTCAATCACTTTTTCTCTTTTATCCTCTAACCAAAAAATTGTTTAATTTTGCATCCCAAATGTTTTTAATCTTTGTATATTTTTTAAAAATCCTTTTCTCCTCATCATTGCCTTTTTTGTGGTTGTAAATAGACTTACTTGCACTTTGAAGATGAGTTACTCCTTGTCATCTTACAAATATGTGATATGGTAATTTTCATAACAGATGTCAGTTTTGAACCAAGAAATGGTGATTTGTTTATAAGAAAAAAAAACTGGCTTCATTTCTGTGAAATTGCTCTTTGAAAATTTCTTTTTACACGTGTAAGCCAACTGAGATACCGTGATGGTGTTGATTTCTTTCAATGATGCTTACCATCTATTTTAGCCACTGAGCCTTTTATTATTTGTCTATTTGTAAAGTTTATTTGTCTTAACTCATTTAATAAATATACTGTTTATCTGTTTCTGAATGGGGACTGAACTCTTTGAATATTGAAATTTACTTAAATATCTTATTTTGGAATTACTTTTTTCTACTTGAGATTTTTAAAATCTGATGAAAATTCTATAATGTACTTGAAATGTTATGGTTGTGTTACAGTGAATCAGTGTTCTAATATCAATATGCATGGTCTTGCCTCTAAAATGAAAGTGGGTACATTTTCCCCACTCTTTCTACCCACCCGAAGCTTAACCCTTCTAGTACAATAGCTTACTTTTGCAGTCCATGAGAATGTAATGCTTTCATTGTAGAACAGATTAGTTTTTCACGTTAACTATTAAGAATTTATTTTTCATCAGATAATACAAACTTGTCAATACAATTATCTGAACTCTATGGTGAAAAAATAATAAAATTGCCCTTAGTTGGGTTTTATAATAAATTATTACCATAAATTCACATTTTTGTGAAATATTGAGTAAATTTTTAAAGGATTATAAATACCATATTTTTGATAGTATAAATTATTAGTACATTATTGAATATATTTAAATATCATTTATGACATGAAAGATATTTTCATTTTGTCAAATTGGGTTTTATATATGTATTATGTATTAGAATTGAATTTTGAATTACATTCTCTGTAAAATTAATTGAATAAGAAAGGGGAGTTTCTCTAAACTTTTGCTTGTTGACATTTTTCCTTCCCCATCCTTTAGAGAGCGCGTGTCTTTTTGTAGCTATCTTTTTCTGTAACATATGCCACTCTAAGACTCTCATAACCAAACCTCATATTAACCTTTATCTTTTAAAATTATTCTTAAATACTTGAAGACAAAACACACTTATTAGCATAAGTATACCAACTTACTAAAAATAATCTCTGAAAAATGACCTTTTAGAATAAGTGGTTTTATATCATAAATAATGTTTCATATGGTAAGAGAAGTCAATGATGGTTAGTATGTTACTGCACTTAGTATTCTATGTTTTTGTCATAAGAAATATTACTTTAGACATTTTCCCTATTAAAAACCACTTCAACATATAGATGAATATTCTAAATGTATGCATCTTTAATCTGTGTTCTCTGAATTCAAAGTATTATTATTGAACAATTTAATTGTAATGGCTCCAAAATAGGAACCTAAAATATAAACATATAAAAATATCGATATGATAGATATTTATACAGTATCAGTCTCTGATATAATTTATTTAATTAGCACTATCCTATTTAAACTAGTTCCCAAGTAATTAACATGCACATTTAAGTTTGGGTTCAATACAGAACAAAGGTTCTCTTGATTTAAATCAATGTTTTTTGAGAACCACAATTTTTTCCAAATCACCTTTCAGATCATTAACTTTTAATAGCAAAAGGGTTATTGTCATAGCATAAACTGGTATTTTAGGAGTACTTGGTATAGCTAAGCACTTTCTATGCTTTATATAAATCAGCCCTGTGAACTGCTGTTATTTCCTATGGGGAAACACACTACAGTTCTGTTCAGTTGCTTGCTCTGGGTCCCATGGTAAGGTAGTAGAGCTGGGGTTCTCTCTTGATGTAAACCCTTTTGCGGGCCTCAGCAATGGGTCTTTGCCATAGTACTAGCATCTTGTTAACATGAATCAGGGCCCAGGGCCCTTATAGCTTATGTTCTCTTTTTTTTTTTTTTTTCTTCCTGATAGAAAATGCTTTAGACATGATCTTAAAGAGTCTTCATATCCTTCCTAGAGGAAAAACTCAAAACACTGAGGCAAAGAATCACCTATTAAAATGTATATAATCAATCCAAGCTTTCCTCTCAGACTTCTTGCTGAGAAGTCAAAGATTAACTCAGTAGAATGTTCTATTATAATAACATACTTAGAGAATTTTGTGACTTGGTACTTTAAAGATGGGTATGTTTAAGTTTCATGTGTAGCAATAATTTAATGACCTATTCAATAAGGTGTTTCTTGTGTTTGACAAGAGTATTCTTAGTTCACTTTTTTTTAAATGAAGAAAGACTTTTGTCCTTTAGTAGTTTCCTTGATTAAAATTTTTAATGCTTTAATATTTAAAATCCAAGGGAGTGACTTTATTGCACATTTGATTTTTAAATGAGCCATTTTTAAAATAAAATTGGAGCCATTTTTTTCAATACCATATTAATGTCATTTTAGAGCAATGTGGTTTATGGTTTGTGAATAGTCCCCCTTAGCTTGTTGGTTGGCTTTTATGACCTAATTAAGATAGCTTAATGAAGGTAAAGAGTTTTGAAACTTTTCCTGTTAGACTGCTTTTTAAATTATTAAGTATCTGGTCATAGGTATGTCTTAACAAATAGCCTGGGAACGGAGTCAAAAATGAGAACAAGAACTCAGGGAAACCTATGGTATTTGAAGTTTAAATTAATTGAGATCCTTTTAATTTATCTAGTGTTCTAAAATTTTAATCTTAACCCTGCTTCCCAAGAAGGGAAAATCAATAGTCTATCTAAAAGCTTTGATCACTGTGTGTGTGTGTGTGTGTGTGTGCGCGCGCGCGCGCGCGCGGCAGGTGGGGGGGTGTTCTGGGGATTGTATCCAGGTCTTGTGCATGTGAGCCAGGTACTCTGCCAACTGAGCTATATCCCCAGCCCCTTGATCACTCATTTTCTGCTGCAGATTTGGGATGAGTGCTAGGTCTCAACCTTAGTGTGGTAGGATAGAGGGTGAATCATAACAATAAAACCACACCAAGTCTCTGGAGCCTAGGATCCTTTCAGTATCTTATAGATAACACTACCCTGATGTTCCCCACTTTCACAGCTTCCAGAATTATCTGCTACTGCTGACACTTCTCTGTCCACATATTCTGCTCTCCATTCATTCATTCAACACACACTTGGTATTTGTCATGAGGAATTCATACTGTTTTGGGAGACTCAAACAGTGTCCCTGCTCTCAAAAGAGCTGATATCCTGTTGGGTGGGAAAGACAAATCTAAATCAGGTTGTAGGGATTGATGCCATGTGACAGTGGTTGAGGAAGCCCTCACAGATAAGGTATAAATCACTGTTGAGCTATATGGAAGAGCCTCCCATCAGAGATTCCATTAGATAGCACCTGGCAAGTTTGAGGAAATTAAAGGAGTTATGGCCAGTGTAGCTGGAGTGGAGTGAACCAGCTGGAGAGTGGGAGATGTGTTTAGACAGGTATGGGAAGACCTCTCCTGACCTCATAAGCCTCCGCAAGAACTTTGACAGGATGTGATGGAGGATTTTGAGGAGGAGCAACATGGCCTGGTTTTAAAAGGATCATCAGCTTCTCTGTGACCAGGGATAGATTGACAGCTAGAAAACCAGTTAGGAAGAGATTGCCTGGTTCCAGTCCAGCTTAACCTTTTCTACTTCTTTGTAGTCTCTTGTGTAGAAATCTTGTGGACCCTTATTTCCTTTTGCTATGTAAACTTTATGCTTGTCATGCTTATCTAATTTACACCAAGTCTGGCATCAATTTTCGTCATCTCACATATTTTCCTCATTTTTGCCTTAGTCCATGTGCAAGTTTCCACATGGATCACAGCAGCCTTCACTTTTACTGTTGTTCAACAACATGGTTACAAACAGAAGGTATCCATTTCTCCTTTCTTCATTCTCCAAAGCTGTGGTCAGTGTCTTCTCCAAACTACCCTTCATCTGCTTTGTAAAAACTCATTAAGCCTGCTGATCTTGTTCTTTTGCTAGACATGATGGCCAGTTTCTTGATTCCCCAGTCTTTTTTAGCTTACTAACCTCTATCTGCTCTGGTCCTGCCTAAGCCACTTGAGTTGGTTTCTTCATCCTGCCCTGTCATTGGCCTCCATGGCTTTGCCTCCTACTCTACTCTGGTGCCCAAACCTGAACCACTTTAAGCATTAGACTATGCTCACCATCTTACCAGTAATAAAGATTCACTTACTTCCTGGCTTTTCTCAGTGCTTTGAGCAAACTTTGTTTTTATTCTTTCAGAGCCTTTTCTCATTACAGTTATGCAAATCTTTATATCTACTTCTGAGCCAAGACTCGGTGCCTGGTTTGTCAGACTCAGATGCACCTTTTCCATTCTGTTGACAAAACCTATGGTGTTCTTGTTGTGCAAACCTACGATTTCTTCACTTAGGTTAGCAAACTTCTGCTTTCCCTTGTTGTCTTCTTACTGGGTTTTAGTCCTTAAGAGCAGAATTTTGCACCTATCCATATTAAACAATTGTTTTAGTCAATGCATATCACTTTGACTGCAGAATTTTGTCATTTAGTTTATTCTCACACAATACAGTAAGGAGCTTTCCCTCCGTTTTCCTAGAACAACTGCTTTCACAGTAAAACTGAAAGACAAGAATAAGATAGGTAAACAACCATTTGTCTTGCTTTCCTCAGAACCATTACCAGGCTGATATTTCATGCAGTCATTCAATCAATTAAGGATCATCTAATTAAATGATCCATCATCCTACATATAAATAGAATCCAAAAGTCATCAACTCCAAAACTGGATGAGGCCTTATGGAGATGCTGTCAGCTACATTTCCCATATGGCTACAAATATTTCTTCCTTGGTTTCAAGTATTCTTTTTTGTCACTGTCTTATTTTCAGTGACAACTTATTTCCAAGTTCTTTACCTCTGGCTTACACATTTGGTTTTTTAACTGTACTCTCCATATCCTATCTTCTCTCTCCCCTGTCACCCAATCTATTCAACACTCAAAATCTTCCTAAATCACCACTTTCCCCACATCACTCTTTCCTCCTCAAATCCAGGTAAGTAAATAACCCCCAAAAAGTTTTGAATAGCACTCCTCATATAACTGTCACCTGCCCCTTTCTCTGCTGCTGTGAGCACACTGTGTATTTCTATTATTCCCTCCCCTTTAAGTTCCCCTGAGTTCTGCTTGTTCCTATCTCTGCTCCTGAGTACAACAGACCTGTAAGAGACATGGTCAAGACTGCATTTTTTCAGAAAATCACCCTTCTGGGAGAGGGTGCCAAGACTCAGTGGCTCTCAAAGGTTTAGGGAAA